CCCTCTGAAGGGATGTTTTCGTCTCTGAGGCGCAGCGCTCCTGTGCTTCTCCGCGTGAGTCACCTCTTGGAGGGCTCTTCTTAACGTGGGTGATTTGAACCGCTTGTTCTGGGGTCTCCGAGAGACGATTCTCCCCAACGCCCACCTGGTTCCCACTTGGCCCCAGGCTGGGGGCTGGCGGCCCGGCCCCAGGGAACCGGGACCCTCGCATGAAACCTCAGTGCCACCAGCCGATGATGGGGCGCGAGGGCTGATTCATCTCCCCACTCCCCCGCTCTCCCGCTCCCTCTCCCCATTCCAGTTGCCAGGGGGAAAGAAAGTGCAGATTGCCCCGTTATGTGGGAATTTCAGAAAAAAAACAAAAAAGTGATCAGCTGGGGAGGAAGATCCCAGGCAATGTCCCGCGCTTGGACGCACACATTCCTCAGACCCGGAATGACACAACCCAGCAGCCCTGCCCCTCACTGGCCTTCTCCCACAGTTGCCTGCAAGCGGTGCCTCGTGCAGTTCCTGCGCCTCATGCAGTTCCTGCACCTCATGCAGCTCCTGCGCCTTGTGCAGTTCCTGCACCTTGGGCCTCCCAGCCTGCACCTTGCCCGCTGTTGCTATTTGCTTGCTCTGTGGGCCACTCCAACATGGCTCCAGTGGCACAGACGGAGGGTAACCATCCTCTCTTTTATCCCAGAGGTGACTGTCTTTTCCAACTCCCCAAGGCATGGTGAGCACTGGAGAGGAGGCGAGTATTTGAGTCCTGGGCCAGGCACACACAGGGTGCAGGGACACTTGACTGATACCCCGTGTGAACCTTCCACTCGGGCTTGTCCCCTCTGAGCTGGGAAAGTTTGTCAGGGTGAGAACCTGTTCTGGGGGAGGATCGAGCGGGGCCTGGCTGGGGTGACCCTGAAGGTCGGGGGTGGGGAAGGTGAACCACAGGGGAGCCCCATGGATGGGGCAGCAGGAATCCCCTCCGAGGTAGAGGTCTGGAGCTACCAGGGTTTCTCAGGGGTGGCCGTGAGCTTCTGCACAGGTTGGGGGGTCCGGGACACTGGCCTTCCCCAGCACACTGGTTGTGGGTCTGTCTCTAGTGCCAAGTTCAAACAGCCACACAGCCCACAGCAGCGACATCAGCTGTGGTACCATTGACGATGACGAAGCTTCTGGGTCTCCCACACCGGCTCCCCGTTGCCCACAGGCAGAGGTGGGGCATCTGCTTGGCTCCTGAAGGAAGCCCCCAGGACTGCCTCTGAGGCTGGCACCTTCCCACTCGACACAGTTCCTGATGCACAGGGAGGGGCGCAGAGTTGGCATTTCAGGGGCTAAACGAGGATGAGGATGGACCCTTGCTGAGGCTTTTAGGATATGACTCAGTCAAAAAGACGGGCTTTCACCATCATGGTAAATAACCTGCTCGGAATCGGGGCTGAGGAGGGATGGCAGCGAGTGGGTTTTATGTCTGTTTTGTCATTTAAGACGGGAGAAGGTTTGAAAAGCATCTCAGGCAGAGGGATAAACCGGCCTTCTGGACATCTCTGTGACTGCCCCGGCTCGGACAAATGTGCTCAGCCCAACGGCTAGTGCCGAGTGGGGAGACGGGGATCTCACATCAGCGCCTCCCACCATCCCTGAGTTTGGGGACCCAGGAGCTTTTCAAACCCCAGCACTTCCTCCCCTGCGCTTCGCCATCCCCGTGAAGCTGGGAGACTTTGCTGCAAACTTGCCCCCCCCCCCCCCCAGCCCAGGTGTCCTGTGGAAAGTGCTCTGTGAGTTCCTTCTGCCCCTCCACGACGAAGCTTCCTGACTCATGGCTCAGCACCAGCCAGGCCGGGGGACGCTGCCAGAAATTAACAGGAGCTAATAAACCTTTGGCGGGTAAATAGATAAATACAGGGATAAGCAGGGCCCGCATAACAGCGAAGCGACTTTGCTGGCTCAGGGAACAACGCTGTTCTCTTGGCAACCAACACGAACCTGCCTCCAACAGCCGGGCCCCAGGCAGCAGCCCTGGCTCGGTCCCCCTGCAGGCACCCCAGTCCCCGAACCCTCCCACGGGCGAGCAGGAAATGTCGAATGGGTCATGTCTACTCCTGCACCTTGTGCAGTTCCTGCACCTCATGCAGCTCCTGCGCCTTGTGCAGTTCCTGCACCTCATGCAGCTCCTGCACCTTGTGCCAAGCGCCGCCTCCCCCTGCCCTCCAGCCCTCTGCCTCTGGGCTGCCAGGCTGCCTCTCTCCGCCTCTGAGCTGCCCACAAGACACTTCTGGAAGGGAATCACCCTTGCCTGGGCAGCAGCACAGAGCCGCCGCCCTGCCCTGCACCATCCAGGTCCAACCCCAGTTGCCAAGGAGAGAGTAGACAGTTTCCCATCTTTGATTCTGGGTGGGCTAAAAGCAGTTCCTTGCTGTCTCGAGGGGCCTAGCGGATCTGGGGGAGGATGGCGGGACTCAGCCAACCCGGCTGATTGGCAGGGGCTCCGGGAAGGCTGGGTCCTGCGTGGTGGGGAGCGATTTGCTGCCTCTGCAGGGGCCCCAGGTGTGGGACAGCGGGGTGGGAGGACCGGGCTCTCCCCGCCTCAGGTGGTGCATTGTTAAACAATGTTCAAACACGAGTTTTGTTCCCACGGAAGGCCTTTACATGCCCATGCTGCATTGATGAACAACAGGAGGACGGTGCTACAGTGCTACAGAGAATCTGTAATAATGATGGTGATGATGATGTGTTGTTTGCAGTCACAGCCCAGGGCCTGGCGCTTGAGGCTCCGAGAATCTGTCAGACGTCTTCTGCAGAGGGGCTTTCCTGGCCTCCGAGACTGAGGGTGACGGCCCAGGGCACCGAGGGAAAGCAAGAACTATGTATTGAGGGGCCAGAGAGATAGCACAGTGGAGAGGCGTTTGCCTTGCACACGGCTGACCCGGGTTCGGTCCTCAGCATCCCATAGGATCCCCCATGCTCCGCCAGGAGTGATTCCTGAGTGCAGAGCCAAGAGAAACCCCTGAGCATCGCTGGGTGTGACCCCCAAAAAAACAACAAACACTGTCCTCCCATTGTTCATCGATTTGCTCGAGCGGGCCCAGTAATGTCTCCGTATTTGAGACCTTGTTACTGTGTTTGGCATATTGAATATATTACGGATAGCTTGCCATGCTTTGCCAGGCGGGTGAAGTACTCTCGGTAGCTTGCCGGGCTCTCCAAGAGGGGCGGAGGAATCGAACCCGGCTCGGCCGGGCCGGCTGCGTGCAAGGCAAACGCCCTACCGCTGTGCTATCACTCCAGCCAAAAAAAAAGAAATATGTATTGAACACCCAATACTTGCTCATCCCGTGCAGCGGACACACTGGGAGCTCATCCTGCTTGCTCAGCACGACAGTGGCAGGGGCAGACGGGCACCGAGACCCAGGAGGTGACGGAGCACCCCAGGGCCCTGGATGGCAGGTACCTCGGCCCCGGGGCCTGTGTGCTGAGCTCCGCTGTCCCCCATGTCCCCAAGGAGCTCGGTGCCTGAGCGGGGAACACCCGGCCTTCAGACCCCACTTCCTGGCTGCTTGTAAATAGTCTATATTTGCTTTCAGTAAATACTCCCCCACAGCGGGCAGTCACCTGATGAGGCCACTAATGAAATCCTCCACAGAATCGGATTCGCTAATTACATACAACATAAAACAGGAACCAAGTAACAGACGATCCGGCCTGCTCGGCGCTTTCTTGGCTCCCCTCTTCTCACCCTTTCGGCTGAGGTAATTCGCTTCGCTCCGTGCTAACATTGCGGCTCTACCCTCGGTCCTGGAGAACGAATCTGCGCTGGACGCTCAAGGCCCTTCCCGGTGTCCCCACGGCTGTCCCGGCCATGCTGGATAGCAGGGACATGGGGTGCTATCAGGCCCAACTCTGGGCTGGTCCCTGCCATCACCGGGCCTCAGTTTCCCCCGTTCTCAGTTCTTACTCGCTCCAACAAGGTCTGTGAGAGCCTCTTGGCTAATGAGTTGACACGCATCAACAAGAGAGGATGGGGCAGACGCGACCTCTTGACCTCGATTCTTCAGCCCTCCCAGGAACCTTGTTGACCTTCAAAACCCCAAACTGGTCACCCAGCTTCCCAGGAGCCAGGCTCATACACCTGACCCTGGTCACTCACCTTGTCACGTGACGTGCAGGTGACACCCTGGGGTCCCAGCCCTGCCAGCCCTGGTTCCTGCTCTGCCACCGTGAGAAAGACGTTTGTCCCCAGACCATCGGGCCCAGGAGACGGGAGACTCCCTCCTTCCCACTCATCTGTCTCTCATGCCACCATGCTGGCAGCCAGTGCTCTGTCCCTAGCGGGCCCCTCACAGGCCCCTGCCACTCAGTAGTGACAGTGGCTGGCGTGGCACTGCACCAACCATGGAAGGGCTCATGGCTTTCAGGTCCCTTACTGGGAAAGGTCCCCACCCCATTTTCCACCCTGGGGAAAGACTCGCAGGGCAGGGGTCTGGGAGCAGTAGGCACCGGACCAGTCACTGTGGTGGCCACCCCCCTGACTCTCTTCACTGGGGCATGGGGGGCAGTGTCCTCACTGCAGGAGCTGGGAGCCGCAGGGTGGCTCTGCTGCTCAGGGCCAGTGCCATGTCGGGGACAAGGTGTGTCAGCCCAGCAGGCACCCTGGGGGCCCCGAGTTTCTCTAAATTCTGGGGGCCTCCAGGAGTCTGGGCCTTTGCAGGATGCCCTGGAATGTGCCCGTGAAGGAGCAGTTGAGGGCTAGCCCAGAGGGCATGAACACCTGGACAGGTGGAGGATTGGGATGAAGGTGACCAGGCAAGGAAGCTGCCGTCGGTGTGGGTCCAGGTGCCTGAGAATGGGTGCCCATGTGTAGGGGGACAGCCCACAGCTGCCAGCTGTGTGGCCGGCTGGTCAGTACCGGGCAGGAGGCCTCGGACTGTGGAGCTGACCAGCCCTGCATGGCTGGGAGCAGTGTCGTGGCCCAGGGGATGCTGTGGCGCCAGTAGCAACCACACGCCTCGTAAGAAATTAAACGGAGCTTTATTAAATAAACCAAGTAGAAACGCACTTATTTACATCCACGTTGTCAGTCTGAGCTCAAGTAATACACTAGGCACAATTCTTCCTGTCCTGAGCTGCCGAAAACACACACACAGCCTGTCCCATGCCCAGGATCTGACGGGGATTCACAGCTGAGGCTCAGAGTCCCACCAAGCCGGGAGACGCTTGGGCTGCGCCTCCGGCTCTTCCTGAGGGCAGTGGGCTCCTGGCCCTGGCAGTGGGAGGGCCGGGGGGTCGGGGGTGGGGTGGGGTGTGAGGCTCAGATGTGCTGAGGTGGCACAGAGAGGAGGAACATGGGAGCTCCAGGCTCTGTGTGCGGACACGGCGGGAAGGATGAGCTCGAGCCACCTGTCCCCTGCACTGGACATCCTGTGCTGCCAGGAGGTGGGCGACCCAGGCCGGGGCCTGGCCCGGCAGAGCTACAGTCAAGTCAGATGGAGCCACAGCTGGGACCCAAGTTTCCTGCGTGGTGTGCCGTGTGCACGGGGGTACCGGGCGGCTTCCCTGAGACACCCCCCATCTGTGCGCTCCCTTCGTTTTTCAAGCAGAAGCTAGGCGAGGGGGAAAGAAAAGTTTCCGCGGGGAAGAGAACCTCACAGAAACGGTAAGGAAGGAAGAAGTCCTTTCCCTGAGATCACCGCAGGCCTTCGGACGCGGTCTCCCCAGAGCTGCGGCAGGCTCTGGGGGGCCGGCAGAGGGACACACACGCACCTCTCGCCCAGACTCCTGAACCGCCAAGCATGAGCCCGGGCATCTCAGCTTGGGGCCCAAGTAAAGAAAAAGGAAAAGTACAAGACGGGCTTCGAGGCTTTTCTCCAAGCTCAAGCGAAGCAACAGGTGAGCCCAGAGCTCCAGGCAGGTTGGGGGACCAGGACAGGTACCCTCTGGTGGGCGTGTCCCTGGGAAGGCGTGTCCCTCGGGCCCGGTGGGCATGGCCCCGGGTGGGCGTGGCCCCAGATGGGCGTGGCCCAGTGAGTGTGCTCCAGGCTGTGCCCAGCAGGATGGCCCTAGTGGGAGGTATAGGCTGGGCTCCAGAGCCCTGAGGGTGGGCTGGTTCTGCGCACTGGGGGCAGCGCGTTGAAAGAAGTCGGCGACAAGGCAGCTGCATCTGGATGGGGCAGGAGAAGGGGACGTCAGGCTCCACCGCGCCCACTGCCGCCATCAGGGGGTGACTGGTTGATACCCGCAGATGGGGGAGCAGGGGCTGGGGCACATAGCTCACTGGTGACATCCCTGATGGCACAAAGGGGCCGCTACTGTGGGGGCACAAAGGCTCTGAGGGGCCGGGCATCTGGGAGTGGGCATGGGGGAACCCTCGAGACCCTGGGGCTAGAGCCCAGGAAGGGGAGTGCCCACTGCAAGGCCAAAAAGGCAGCAGAGCCAGTTCCCCAGAACACGGCTACTCTGTGAGTCTACCCCCGGCCCCCAATCCCCAACCGGGGCCATGAAGCCGGATCTGCAGGACTCGGGGGCCGGGGGGGGGCTGGGGGGCTGGACCCAGAACCGGCAGGGCCGCTACTCACAGTGGGGGCTGTGCTGCGGGCTGGAGCGGGGTGCCAGGGTCGCGGGCGAGGAGTGCTCCCGGGGTGCACAGATGGTGTGGTAGGCTGCAGGAAGAAGGGGTGGTTAGAAAGGGGCCGGAGAGCCTGCGAGAGGGGGGCCCCGGGGTGCCGGCTCACCTATGATCATGACGGCCGTCCCGGCCAGCAGGGCAAAGAGCGTGAAGAACATGACCTGGTAGGAGTCCAGGAAGTGCTGGAAGAGGCTGGATCCGTCTGTCCACGGGAACACCATAGTCACCCTGGGGCCCAGCGCTGACCCTTCAGCAGCCCTGAACCCCCACAGGTGACCCAGCCCCAGCAAAGAAACACTCGAGGGTGGAAGGCTCCTCCTGCCTGGCCGGCCCCCAGCCCTTAGCAAGGCCCTTTCTGCACCCCTGTTCAACAGGAAGAAGGGGGACTCCCTGGAGTACCCCAGACAGACTGCCTCAGAGACTGGCCCCTGTCGGCCCCTCCACGTCCTCCTCCTCCTCCTTCAGACTAGAATGGGGCCTCCACCGGATCATAGCGGACCCCTGGTGTGTCCCCACCCCGCTGAGCCACATCCCGGATTTGTCCCTTCACTCCTGAGTCAGTTCTAGGCACTGTGTTAGAGGGAGGCGTGGGGCCCTTGGTCCCTCTGCCCACACACAGACGTCAACTCGCTTGAAGGGAGGGGCGGGCAGGCCCGGGGCACGCACACGGCCAGTGAGCAGAGCCATGCGCGTGCCAGGGAGGCGATGGAGAGGTGTCATGGGTGCGGTTTTCATCCCCCTGTTCTATGGGGGACCCCAACTGGGGGTTCGACGGGGAGGGATGGTGCCGACCGACCAGCTCTCTGGGGCATTGGCGGTGGGAAGAGCAGGGACAGCGGCCTGAGGGCTGGGAGCCTTGAGGAGCAGGAGCACACACCTGGCCCCACTGTCCACCCACACATCCCCCTGTGCCCAGCTGTGGCCCTGCCCCATCACTCACGGGGCCCAGAGCCTCGGCGGTCCATCAGGAAGGCCACGGTGACGGGGATACTGATGGCCTGGTTCGTGGTGGGGCTGAAGAAGGTCAGGGCGGTGGACAGAGGCCCCTGGCTGCCGGCGGCCGGGTCCGAGACCCCGATGGTGTAGGTGATGAAGCTGGGCAGCCCCAGGGACTTCTCCTTCGCGAAGGCCAGCACAGCCGGGGACCCGGATTTAACCTAGGGCAGAGGTCAGGAGGTGGATGAGCACCGCACCGTGCTCCTCACGTCCTCCTCCCTGCTGGAGCCTCTGAGTACTGCCTCCCGGGCAGAGGACGGCCCTCGGTGCCTGGAGAAAAGGACAGAGTGCCAGGAGCCCGGAGAGCGGCCCATGCAGCTGTGCCCAATGCCCCCAGGTGGCCGTACACCCTCCCCAACCACAAGCCCCACGGAGCCACAAGCCCCCTCACCCGACCCGACAGGCAGGGAATGCAGGGCCCCAGCATGGGATGTGGAGGAGCCCGTGGCCAGCAGGAGCGGGCGCGTGCCCGGCGTGCGTGGACAACTTGTGGCTTCTCCCTCTCTTCCATCCTGGAGAGGCAGACTGGGGGCTGCGGCGGGCTGCCCATGGCTGTGCTCGGTGACCTTGTCACAGTTGCTCTGACTTGGCAAGGGTCCCAGTCCCCCCCACAACCCCAGGCCTTCCCGCACACTCGCCTCCAGGCCCTCCAGGATCTCGGCGGCTCCGAAGACCTTGACCTCGGCGCTGCTGTAGTGATTGCTCAGGAGGATCTCGGTCTGGTCGGCGTAGAGGCCGGGGCTGAAGGGCACCGAGGTGCCCACCTGCTCCGCCTGCAAGTGGCGGCCCACGAGTGAGGCGGTGGCCACCAGTGCCGCCTTCTTCATGCTGAGCTGCTTCAGCTGCTTGTCAGTCAGCCTGCGCATGGTCACCGAGCACAGGTACTGGCCTGCGGGGACAGACGGGCTGTCTGCCTGGCTGCCCACGCCTCCCCGGGCCCCGGCCAGGCAACCCTCCTCCTCCACAGCCCCCAGGGGCCAAGGCAGGGACCCTCCCCTGCTGGACCGAGGGTGCTGGGAGCCAAACACACTCCAGCAAAGTGCCCCGCTCCCAGCCCCCCACCCCTCACCCCTGCAAACTCACCCAGAGACGTGTCAAAGCTGGGCTCGGCTGTGACGACATCCTGAGCTGGGAAGTCGAAGTCGTCCTGCTGGAACTGGAGCTGGCAGCTGATGAGGGACTCGGGGCGCAGGGCCTCGATCTCCTCCAGCTGGGCGGGGGAGCACTCACCTAGAGACAAGCCAGGGTCAAGGCATGGGCCGGAGTGAGAGGACAGCAGGGAGGGGCCTGGCGTGCAGTTGGCCCAGGGTCGGTCCCTGGCATCCCATAAGGTCGCCAGAGCCCACCGGGAGCAATTCCTGAGTGCGCAGTCAGGAGGTAGCCCTGAGCACTGTTGGGTGTAGTTCCCCCCAACATTTTTCAAAGGCAGTCCTCCCCCTCCACCCCAGAGGGCGGCCAGGTTCAATGAGAACCAGGCGCTGCTTCTGGCCACAAACTTAGGTCATGCCTGAGTACCCCAGGTGGCCCTGCCCACAGTGATCCACTGCCCCTTCCTGACACCGGGGGAGTGGCCAGGATAGGTAGGTCCAGCCTTCCAGGAGGGCAATGGTCCCTCATTTCAGCAGCTACAGGGAGGCCGGAGGAGGGGTCTGGCTCCCCGATGGCACTGTGCCCCCAGCTGCTCAGGGATCTCAAGAACAGCCTGGGAGGCCACACCTGGCCCCTGAGCACTGCCAAGTGTGATCCCTGAGCAGAGCCAGGGGTCAGCCCGAGCATTGCCGGGGTGTCGCCCAAACAAAAGCGAAACAGTACTGCCCTGTCCTGCTCGGGACCAGAGCCATAGCACAGCAGGGAGGGCGTTTGCTTTGCATGCGGCTGACCTGGGTTCAACCCCCGGCACCCAATATGGTCCCTGTGCCCTCCAGGAGTGATCCCTGAGCACAGAGCCAGGAGTAAGTCCTGAGCACCACCAGTTGTGTCCCTTTCCCACCAAAATAAAAACAAAAAGCACATCCTGGGTCGGAGAGTCGATGTTTGGCAGCTGCTGCCCAAAGCTCTTGGGACAGTGCTGGAATGTGTCGCCTCAGGAGCGGTGACTCCAGGCACCAGAGCCATTGGCGTGGCCCAGAGCCTCCTTATATGCCCCTGCAGAACCTGCCGTGGCATTTTTTTTTCCTTTTTGGGTCATACTTGGCTATGCACAGGGATTACTCCTGGCTCTGCACTCAGGAATTACCCCTGGCAGTGCTCAGGGGACCATATGGGATGCTGGGAATCGAACCCGGGCTGGCTGCATGCAAGGCAAATGCCCTACCCACTGTGCTATCTCTCCAGCCCCACCGTGGCATTTCTGGGTGCCAGGCTCGCCGGAGACTCAATCGCCCCAAGAGCCAGAAGGAGCAGGTGAGTCCGGCGTCTGTTGTGAGATGGGGGTGCAGCCCCCCGGCCCCACACCGCTGCTCACCGCACCTCGCAGGTTGGAGCTCCTGTCACCCAGGGTGACGGCCACTCTGGAGAACACCACGTCCTGGGCACTGGACTGGCCAGGGCGGGCGCGATGCGCCAGGATCCTCTGGGGGGCGCTGACCACAATCTGGGGAGGGGGAGACAGACGCCATCTCCACACGTGGCCTGGGATCCACAGTGCCCAAGCCCACCTCCCTCCTGTCTGAGAGCCAATCCTGTTGTCCCCTGCTCCTTCCCACCCTGTACCCCCTGCCCCGGTCACTGCCGCACCCCCACCTCCCCAACATCCCTTCATGCCGCCTCATCCCACACCCAAACGGTCTCTGTGCTCTGATGACTCCTCCCCAGCTCACGCCTTGCCTCTGCCCACCCACGGGGGCTCACCGAGGGTGCACCCTGGGTCTCCTGGCTGGGCACCTGGACCCACACCCCGTCCTGGCTCTGACTGCACCAGGCACAGGATCTCGGACTACCCCCGGCGACGACTCCAATGGCTCCCTTCAAACCACCCATGTCATAGCTCGGAGAACGGGGACACCGTGTCTCATCTCAGCAGCCAGGTGAGGCTTGAAACCCGGCAGCCCCGCCCAATCACTCAGTCTCAGCGGCATAGACCCCCAGAACCCAACACAGCCCAAGACCTGGTGAGGAGAGGCAGCCCCTGCGCCGCCCCTCGGGTCCTGCCCAGACCAAGCAGCTTCCAGGGACACAGGCGTCCCTCTGGCCACTGGCTTGCAGAACTAAAGGACAGAGCCGCCGGAGCGCAAATAAGCTCTTAGCTGAGGCCAGATCGGACACACGGACTCACTGAGCGGGGCAGGGTGGGGGCGCAGTCTTGCTCGCCCCCAGAAAGACTGGAAGGTGATGAGCCAGGGGAGGCTCCATTTTGCTGGTGACGTCACTTGGTGGCCTGACCACCCACAGCTACCACCCTGGGAAAAGCCCTCCGGGCCCTTCCTGCCGGTGGAGAGCCTGTGGAGGCGCAGCAGGGAGCCCCAGAATGCAGGGAGGCGGGTCCCAGAGCAGAGATCCGGAGGGGCCCAGCCAGACGCCTCTTTCTCAAAGCTGAGGCACTCAGTGACTGACACCGAAGTCTCGGCTGCGCGGGGTCCCCCGAGACCCAAAGCCTCACCTCCTTGTATGTCCTCAGGTGCCCGGTGACCTCGTAGTGGACGGTCACAGGTCCTGTATCCCGAGCCACGGCCACACCTGTCTTGGGGTCCACGTGGAGGATGTTGCTGGCGGAGGAGCTCCAGGTCCCTGGGAGGCCTGGTGGAGGGAGCCCCGCTGTCAGGTCAGCCTCCTGTCCAGGGCTGACACCCTCGCCCGCTGGGCACGGTCCTGCTGCAGCTTGGCCTCCAGTGTCGCAGAGGGCACCGAGGAGAGAGGCCAGCTCTGCGGCCACAGCTGCCCCATCCCCTCCTGCACACGGTACCCCTGAGCCCCAACACAGTCTCAGGGCCCCTCCCGGGTCCCGGGCCCTCGGCCCCAGAGCATCTGCCTGTCCATCCCTGTAACCAGGCAGCAGTCCCGCTCTGAGCTGTCACCCGAGCGTCTCTCTCCACTGAGAGTCAAACACATCACACGTGTGCAATCGAGAACCCGACAACCGTTTCCTATTATGGCAGATGACATCTGCTCTTCTTCACAGTCAGCGCATAACCTCCTTTCAAAATGAATTTAACTATGTGAACAAACAATTAAGGGGCCCATTTGGAAAAGAAACAAAAACAAACCGAAACCCAAACAGTAACTGTAGACAGTGCGTGGGAATCGCCGAACTCCCCAACACTCACCTCCACCTAAGCCTCCTTCTAGAGCAGGAACAAGGTCCCTTTCTCCTGGCCACGATGACTATTTAGAACAACTCACAGGCCACACTGCAAGGCTGGGGCCCCAGGTAGCCATCGCGAAACAGCCATGTCCACACACCCAGGCTGGACCCCTGGGTTTCTTGGGGTTCTTATGTGGCCAGAGGGTCAACGTTTCCCATTGGTTCTAGAAACATGTTTGCCAGCATGGAAGCCACAAAATTAAATAAAATCAAATGCTCGGGGCTGGTGTGATAGTACAGTGGGTGGGGCATTTGCCTTACACATGGTTGACCCAGGTTCAATCCCCGGCACCCAATATGGTTCCCAGAGTCCCGCAAGGAGTGATCCCTGAGCATCGCCGGGTGTGGCCCCAAAACAAGAAGAAACGAAAAGAAAACCTAGCGTTCTATTTCTCAGCTGCGTTTGCCATGTTCCACAAAGCAGACTGCCAGTGGCTACCGAGCCAGTCTAGATATAAGGCAGAAAGTTCCAGAACTCTACCCAACGCAGGGCTGGCAAGCTCCTGTGTGAAGGACAGGTGGGGCTGTGTCCTCGGCGATCGCTCTCAGTCAAGTGGCCGGCGGGCGGAGTTCGCCCGCCCAGAAAGGCAGCAGGCAGGCCCGGGGCGGGGGGGGGGGCTGGAGTGGGGCTCACCTTCGGGACTGAGCAGGGTGGCGGACAGACAGAGGACGTCTCCCACCACCACCGTGCCGGACAGCTGGGGGGAGATGGCCTGGACAACGGGCAGCGGCACGAAGTCGGAGAGGCCGGCGTGCTCGGCATCCCAGGCGCTGAGCAGGGTGAGGCCCACGCTGACGGCACGCACCACGCAGGTGTGGTTCGTTGAGCCTTTTCCGATCTGCACAAACTCGTCCCTGCGGGCCAGGAGGAGGAGGGGGGCCCGGTGTCAGGGGAGATGGAAGGAGGGGCCCGGTGTCAGGGGAGCCAGTGGTAGGGGGACCTGGTGTCAGGGGAGCCGGTGTGGGGGGGTTGGGGCGGTGTCAGGAGAGGTGGGGGGAGAGAGGCCGGTGTCAGGGGAGCCAGGAGAAGGGGGATGCCCAGTCTTGGGGGAGTCAGAAGAAGGTGCCTGGTCTCAGGGGAGCCCCCGAGCCCCTGCTCCCCGGGGACAGCGGCGGGCACCATGGCTGCCGGATGAGCCTTTCTCAGGAGTCCCGGGAAAGCTGCTATTGTTCAGGGTGCGGGGGGTACCGCTGGCCCTCACGCTCAGCAGATGCCCACCTCCTGGTTCTGTCTGTCTCGGTGGCCAGCAGCCATGGCACTCAGCGGGCCTCTACCCTGCCGGCCGACCCTTTCTGCTCTACGGTCTGATCCATGCAGGGGCGCCAGGGCCAGGACAATGCCCATGTTCTCTCCTCCCCTGGTCCAGCTCCCATAGGGCACAAAAACCCTGACACGGACTGTCTAGCCTTCCACCAACCCCCAGCCTGGAGTTTCATGTCCCCTGGGCCCACTTCCTGTCTGTGCCCTGAGATGCCGCCAGGGAAAAGGACGTGCCGTCCACCCCTACCTGTTGGTGGCGAAGTTGAGGACAGAGTTGTGCGCATGGAAAACGTCTCCCGAGTTGTCATGGAAGTGGACAGTGAAGGTCACGGTCATTCCCAGAGGCAGGGCTGTCAGGGCGTCCTTGTTGGGGGTGTGCAGGGCGGGGCTCATGGAGATCCTCAGGTAAGAAACGGGGGACACCTAGGGGGCACAGGGACAGGATGGTGGCAGGTGTGTTCCCCCAAGCCCTCCCGAGGAGGGGATGCTCTCGGAAAGGGCAAGAGGCTGGCCTGGCTCAGGAGAGCTGGGAAGAGGAAGGGCTCGCTAGTGTCCCTGGCCTGTGCCCAGTCCCTCGGGGGAGCAGAGCGTCATTCACACACAGACATCTCCCTGCTGGGAGGCACCGGGGCAGCGGTGACGGGGGAGGGCGGGCATGGCTGGCATCAGGGCTGCAGGGACCCGAGTTCCACAAAGATCAGCCTTGGTGGCGAGAGACACTGAAAGGCCCCGAGTGCAGGTGCTGCATGTGGGAGCCCCAGGCTCGATCCCCAGACCCTCATGGTTCCTGAGCACTGCCCGGAGGGGCCTCCGAGCACTGTGTAGGAGGAGCCCCAAGCACCGTTGGGTGCAGCCCCCTTAAAAAGGGTGTAGCCTCGGCCGACTCCATATACACCCTTCCTAGACAGGAAGATGGCGCCCCCCAGCCCCCCAGGCACGGCGCCTACTGTGGAGAGGAAGAGGGGCTGGTGTCACATGCGGGTCTCCTGGACACAGAAGGCCACCAGCTCAGAGCTGGGAAATCCCTACAACACCCCCCTTTGAGATAGCGGTTGTCAGGAGGGCTGGGGAGAAAGTTCTGTTCTGAACAAACCCGGGACCCGGGGCACACGAGCAGCAGAGAAAGGTGGGTGGAGGGTGGGTGAGAAGGAGCTGCGGAGCCCACAGGGGCCGGTGAGGAAGCCTCTGGACCACAGCGCTGCCTGACGCCTTCCACGCTGGCCTTTCCCGGTCACTTCCAGAACGGAGCGCTTGTTCCCCGGGCAGAGGGGGCCCAGCCTGTGCCTTCAATGCCCCTGGTCTGGGCTCTGAGATGCCAGTTCCAGCACTGCTGGGGGTCCATGTCCCCATCCAAGAGACAAAGGGGTCATGACGGAGATGCTAAGGCCGTCAGCTCTGACGAAGGAGCTGGACCCTTCCCCAGGACCCGTGGCTGCCAGGGGCGCTGTGCCCACCCGCACCCACCAGCGCCCAGGGCTGACCCTCTCCCCAGAGCGGGCCTGGCAGGTGCTACCTTCACAGCGACGAGGATGGTTTGGTTGGTCCCAAAATGCTCCTGGGCGGTGATCTGGATGGTGGATGTGCCCACGGCAGAGCCGGACACCAGGAAGCCTTTCTCGTCCATGTGCACGAGCGGAACCTTCTCGGGCCCGTCCAGGACGCGGTAGCTGAGGGCAGCAACGCCGTCTCTGGGAGAGAGAGTGTGTCCGTGTGCAGTGGGATGGCCGGGCAGGGCTAACAGGGCTCCGGGAGAGGAAGTGCCCGACCTGGCCCCCTAGGCCCCGGGAGCCCGCGCTGGCAGCCCCAGAGGAGAGCGGTGCCAGGGAAGGGGGCTAGTGAGGATGCGTGCGCGGAGGTGAGGGGAGAGTTTGGGTCCAGAGCTGGACACAGCTCCCAGCAGAGCCCACAGCCTGCAGACAGCCCGACCCGGGTTCAGCACAGGCCTCGCTCTGCGTTCTGAGCACAGAAACGGGCTCAGGCTCCTGCCATCCTGTTCCCGCGGGGCCCATGGGACCTCCAGAGCTACCCGAGCAACCAGGAAGCAGGTTTGTCCCCGAGCCCAGCAGCTCATATAGGAGGGCCCCTCGCACCCCAAGCCCACCACCTCACACCAGAGAGCCCCAACCCCAATGCACCCCAGACCCTGAGGTGTATGTGTGTGTATGTATATGAGTGCGTGTGCGCATGCCTATGTGCACGTGTCTATGTGAACGCATGCTGAGTGTGTCTATGAGTGTACGAACATGTAAGTACACATATGCGAAAGTGTATTGTGTATGTATGTGAAAGTGTTTTCGCACCTGAGTGTATGTGAGAGTATACGTGAGAGTATGTGTTTGAGTGTAAGTGCGTATATGTGAAAGTGTGTGCACGTGAGGGTATGAGTGTATATGTACATGTGTGTGCGTGATTGTGTATGTGCATGTATGAGTGTAAGTACATGTATGTGAACGTGTGTTTTGTGTGTGTGCATGTATGTGAAAGTGTTTTGCGTGTGAGCATATGTGAATGTGTGTGCACATGTGAGTGTTTATACGTGTGTGCATGTGTGAGTGTGTACGAGTGTATATGGGAGTGCGTATGTCTGAGGGATGTGGAACAAGTCCATGTGAGCGTGTGTGCATGCCTAAGGGATGTGGAGCAGGTCTGTGTGTGAGCGTGTGTGCATGCCTGAGGCACAGAGATGGCCCGGGTGGTGCTCCAGCCCCAGGGCACTGCTGCATGGCACCCAGAAGTCCTTTTCCCTGAGGCGAATCCCAAGCCTGCCCAAAGCTGGTTCTCAGGGCTGGGGAGAAAACTGAGAGGCCGAGTGTCGGCTCCACATGCAGGAGCCCGGGTGCGATCCCCGGCACTGCAGGCCCCGAGCATAGAGCTGGGTGAAGCTCCCAAGCACCACTGGGTGTGCCCCCCAACCCAGATTACTGAGGGAGTGTGAGTGTGTGCATGAGCATGTGTGTGTGCAAGCGTGTGTGTGAGGGTAGGACCAAGGTGTACACATCCCCCTCTGGTGGAGGGGCTGCATCATGAGGGGTGAGTCTCGTACGGGGCCCCCTGCAGTGTGGCTGGGTGGACAGGACCCCTTCCAAGATGCTCCTGCAGCCGCACGGGCCCATGGCGCTCAGGCGACACGCTGTGGGGGCTATGCCGTGTGTGGAGGGTAAGCTCGGGCCTCAAGCATGCCAGCCACACGCTCCACCGCCACAGCCAGTCCACAGAACAGCATGTCTTAAGCAACGTGGGGTGGGGGGCTCGGAAAACCACCCCACCCTGCCCCTTCCTTCCCAGCGAGGGGCTGGGACGCAGTAGCAGCTCTTCCGGTTTCCGGGCTGCGGCGAGGAGCGGGCACGGGAGACGGGCGGTGCGCGAGGGGCGCTGAAGGGGCCGCGGCTGACGGCGCCCGAGTGCTCGGCTCCTGCCAACTTTGACAAACGAGGTGGCGCGGCGGCGCGGGAAGTGGCGCTGACTCACGTACCTGTTTGTCTGAAGCTTTATGAACGAGTTGGGTGACATTAATATTTGTTCTGCTTCTATTCCAGGACTCAGCAGCCGCAGCTTCTCAAATACCTGGGGGAGGCGACAGAGACATCGGCTTCCCGTGAGGCTGGGACCTCCGGGCTTCGGCTGTGCCCCCAGCGGGGAGAGCCCGCGGGCACAGTGACCAAGGGCTGACCCTGGAGACAGGGCAAAGGTGAACAGGGAAAGGCAGGTCGGGGGCGTGCGTGAGTGTGTGAGAGCATCTGTCTCCATCCTTTTGGGGCCGGGGGCATCACCTTCCCTGGGTTGGCAGGAGGGAGCCTGGTCGGGACACGCACGGGGGGCAGATCTAGGGGTACACACAGGGGGGAGAGGCCTGGGGGTGCACACAGGGTGGGGAATCAGACAGGCTTGGGGGGTGCACAGGCGGGGCAGGGGGCAGCAGACAGGCCAGGGCCTACTCAGCAAGGACTTGCTGGTGGGGCCGAGTCTGCAGCAGCCGGGCTGCCCTTTCCTGTGGTGACCCTGTCCATGATCCATGGGGCCCTCATCTCAGTCCTTCCCGCCCCATTCCAGATGGAGCCCAGAGCAGGTGACCCCTGGTGATGTGGGGTCCTGCAAGTTCCCCTCGTCCCCGGGGCCTGCAGATAGTCATGGCCTGCAGTCCTGGGCAGCAGTGCTCACCCCAGAACTCTGAACCCCACCCTGTGTTCGTCCTAAGGCATCCAGGGCTACACCCCAGTGGGGTCTGCATCGACCCTGGGTCCTGTCGTCCCCCTGGGCCAAACTCTCCTTTCCCAATGCTGGCAAAAACGGCCACCTCTAAGCACCCCAAGAGGCAATTGGCACAACAGACTTAATTTCTCTCTTTCTTTTTTTGCTTTTTGGGTCATACCCGGCTATGCTCAGGGGTTACTCCTGGCTCTGCCCTCAGGAATTACTCCTGGTGGTGCTTGGGGGACCATATGGGACGCTGGGGATCGAGCCCAGGTTGGCTGTATACAAGGCAAAAGCCCTACCCGCTGTACTATCCCGCCCAACAGACTAATTTCAATGTCTTAAAGCATCTTCTGGACTCAATTCCTCTGTGTGGTTTAGAGAAACTGAGGCAGGGCATTAGTTTCCCAACTGAGAGCATAAACTTTGGAAATTATGAGTCCCCGTCTTGAATTCTGTGACCAGTGTCAGAACTTGCTTTGGTTTGGGGGTCACAATGGGCAGTGTTCAGGGCCTTCTCCTGGCTCTGCACTCAGGAATCACTCCAGGTGGGGCTCAGGGGACCACAGCAGCACCCCGAGGTGACCCCGGCCAGGGTGCCGGGGACTGAACCCAGGTCGGCTGCATGCAAGGCAAGCGCCCTCCCTGCTGTCCTATCGCTCCGGCCCTAGAACCTATTTTTATTTTCCACTGGGAGAGCGTGTCTGTGCCTCTCTGTGTCTGTATTGCACACGTGCAGGAGTGTCGCTCTCCCCATGTCAGCATACACACGTGGGTATGTTTGTGTGTTTCTCCACGTCTGTATATACATGTGGGTATGTGCCTCTGTTTCTACGTGCACATGTGTGTCCCCGCATGTCTACATGCGGAGACATGGCGGGGGTGTGGATATGCATTGTGTCTGTGTGTACGTGCGTGGGGGGCCGAGTCTACATGAGAGAGCCATAGGGCTCTGAGTCCTGAAACAGGAACAATGGCAGGGACCCTGAGAACCTTTTGGGGGCAGGTTTGTGCTTTTTTCAAAGGAACTGCGAGGCCAGTCCGATGTGTAACCCTGGGTTTTGGCCTCTAATCAGAGCCGTGCTGAGAGGTGTGGGCAGTGGGGCTCAGGCTGCTTCTCTGAGGTGCTAAGTAAGAGCTTCCGGGAAGCAAATGCCTGGCTGACCACTCCCAGTTGCTAAGCCTTCCCGAGAGGGGTTCCCCGACTCCAAGCAGCTGGACCTGCTGCTTTAGAAGCTTGTGGCCCCTCCCTCTTCTGCACCCTGACCTCTGGCCTCCCGCGGTATCCAGGGTCCCCTGCTGCCGCCCTCACCTGGATCTGGATCTCATCTGACAGCTCCGCGGCCAGGTCCTGCAGCTGCCCGGCAGCGGGGTCCAGGGCCCTGACCACCACTCGCAGCCCCGTGCGGCCTCGCCCCCGGCCGTGCACGTTCATGGCGAAGTTGTGTTGTGAGGGGAGCCGGATGGACGCCTGCGGACAAGGATGCGTTTCAGGGAGTGCCGGGGGGCCTTGGCACTTAGAGAGCTAAGGGGGAGCCTCCCAGCTGTGTTCGTTCTCAGGCCCGTGAGCCCAGGTCTGGGTCAGCCACGGACACCCAGGTGCGGAGCAGCACCCCGAGGTGACCTCGGCCAGTGTTGAAGACATGGGGTTCCTCTGAGCTGTCAGGGTGCATGTGCAGGCTCTGACCACTGGGAGGGGAAGGGCCTAGCCAAGAGGGCTGAGCTGGGTACAACCCCCCCCCTCCCCAGAGCCTCCTGCCAAGAGATCAATGACAGGAGTGAGTGTCCACATTGGGGCCCCATCACCACTAGATGAGGCGCCCACAGGAGGGCACCCAGGGGCCCGCACTGATCTCCTCCCTGCTCTGAAGCAACCCCCATGGCCAGGGCGAGGGGTCAGGCCCTCTATGGAGGACTTGGGGGTGGCCCAGGGGTAAAGCCGAGGGCGCTTCAGCTGCAGGTGGCATCTCCCTCCAGGGGTTCAGCTACAGCCTAGGAATCCGACCCCACTCCTGTTCTCGGGCTTGACTGGCTTCCCCCAATGGCTGGGCACACTAGTCCCTGGCACCCCTCTCAAGTGGTGACAGTAAGGGACTGGGATGAGAGGGCACTGGAGTCCCTGTGAGATGGGGGGACAGCATGGTGGCAGCAGGGGACAGGTCCCAATGGGCCTCCGAGAGGAGTGGGGCTGGGAGCAGGCTAGGAGTGAAACTGGGATGGAGGGACCGCGTGGACCCCTCCATGCTGGTGGAACTCAGGGTGCCTCGTGGGCGCCCCCTGCTGGCATGGATGCAGGGCTCTCGTTGGTGGCCCCACACTGGTCAGGATGGGGGTACCTCGTGGTGTCGACCCCGGACGTCCAGGATATCCCGCTTGGTGACAGACCAGTGGAAGGTCAGACCAGGCACGGCGTTGCCAAAGGAGAAAGGGTTCTGGTTGTTGGTGATCCCAGTGACATAGACGGGCATCTGTGGGGAGAAAATGACTCCTGGGACACCCAGCCTGAGTCCCAGATGCACCCCTGGAGCCTGGGGCGCAGGCTACCACATTCCACAGTAAGTGGAGCCCAGAGCCCTCCGGTGGCTGGAAGCTATGTGGACCACAACAGGCGGAGGTCAACACAGACAGAACACAGAGCAGAGCAGCATGAAACAGGCCAAACTCATCACCAGACAGATCACACATGACAGACCAAACCCAGGAGTGGCTGGTCCCAGGACAGAGCAAGCACGGGACAGTCAGAACCCGTGAGAGGCCGAACACAGGATAGAATGCATGTGCTTTCTCTGTGGGGCTTGGCCAAGAGCCCATTTACAATAATCATACACACAGAGCCACACTCACACACAGTTATATATACACACACAGTCACACACAAACATAATCACATACTCACAGCCACACTCATGCACACACCCTCCACACTCACGTACACATCCTCAGTCATACACTCATAGCCACTCACACACACACACACACACACACACACACACTCAGTTACACACATCCTGAGTTACACACAGACTCAGTTACACATAAACTCTCTCTCTCTCTCTCTCTCTCTCTCTCTCTCTCTCTCTCACACACACACACACACACACACACACACACACCTCACGGCCCCACCCCAAGTTCCTTCAGTGTCTCCTCTTTCTTGACAGACCAGGGCCTGATGGTGAAGGAGATGCGGGGAGTTGGGTCTCCCCCATCCTGGACGGGAGGCAGCCCTAGTCCTCCCCAGTGGCCAGAGTAGGCTGTGACTTGGCCTCCTATATGCTCACTTCCTGCCCAACACAGAGACGGCCCCACTCTGGGCCCAGTGCCATAAGGGAGCGTGGTGCCGCTGACCACCGCTCGCCTTCTCGCCTGGCTGGGGACTGGTGCAGGCAGTGCAGCTGCGGGCGCTGAGCGGAGCACTGCAGGAGGGAGAGGGGCGTGAGACCGGGAGCGGAATGCAGGGGCCTTTGGAAGGGAGGGAAACAGAAGCACATGAGCATGGCCTCTGAGCAGCAGTTCCCGCTCCCGGCACCTGAGTCCAGCGGGCAGTCCGGACGGTGCTCCTGGAACCACAGTCCCACCTCACCTGGGTCCCTGTCCGCATGCGCGTGATGGGCGCACGGATCCTCACTGCCCGCAGGAGAAGAACCTCCACCTCCACGATGTCCTAGGAGAGGAGTGGGGGCTCCGGTGGGCTGGGGAAAGGCCACATGCCGGGGACAGGGGTTTCGAGAGGGACACCCCCCACCAGGGAGGCAGCATCTGCCACAGTGAGGTCAAGTCCCAGGATATGGTACTGCCTGGGAGTCCACACAGGCTCCCCTCCCTGGGGGACCAGCACTATGGGTGACCCACTCCCCTGACAGGGCCAGAGCAGAGCCTGAGTCTGGCATAAGGGCCGCCCCCTCCCCCAGCCACCACCCTGGGCAGCACCCTGTGTGCAGGACAGATTCGGTCACCTGCGACACGATGACCAGCTTGCCGGTCTCTGCGTCCACAGCTTGCACAACCCCCGACACGGAGGCGTTGCCCACGGCGAGGCCCTGCACCAGCCCGGCGCCAGTCACCAGCGCCACACTCGTGTTGCCGATGGAGAAGAGAATGTTGGACTGAGGCTGGGGACCACCCTCGGACGTGATCTGCGAGGGGAGACAGGGGGCTATAACCCTGCTTGGCAGAAGCCCCCACCCTACTCCTGCTTCCTGCTCAGCAGTGCAGGGGGAGAGGGAGGGGAGCAAAGGCTGCACATGCCTCTGCCCTACCTGCATCGTGGCCCCGATGATCAATGTCACCTTCCGGGGTATCAGTCGGAACGGGGGAAAGACCTAGGCATGGCGAACAGAAAAGGGGGTAAGGGACTCTGTGTCCCACACTTGGGCACCCAGCACCAGGCACTCCCAGCAGTGCCGGGACAGGAACTCGTGCAGAACCCCGTGCCCCTGGGGAGAGGGACCACCAAGGCCTGGGATCGGGCCCCCTAGGGGGAACACAAGCCTCCCCGGGACCTTGCTCACGGCTCCTGAATCAGTGGTCTCGGGTCACGTGGGAGCTGCAGAATCATACACAGCCCCTGTAGCAGGGGCAGATCCCGCACCCGGGGGGGAAGACAGTCCTCCGGGGCTGTCTCTGTGTTCACACTGATGTTTGCACCCCTGGCAAGGAGGCTGCCCCCTTGCTCGGAGTCTTTCCAGATCTCACAAACCGATTGCCTGGGCTGCCCTCACATCTTTCCACAGGGCTGGGCGGCCTGTCACTCTGTCGTAGAGGACCCCTCCCACCCCCGCCCCACAGTCTGACAGGACCAACCAAAGCAGCGACAAGAAATTCCCTAGAGAGGCGGGGCTCCCGTGTGGGCGGGCCTGTGGGAGGCAGGTTCTGTGTGGGCGGAGCCTTAAGAGGCGGGGTCCTGTGTGGGCGGGGCATCGGGAGGCGGAGTTCTGTGTGGGCGGAGCCTCAGGAGGCGGGGCGCTGGCTGCGCCTCAGGCCTACACGCATACGAAGACAAAGAGGGGCCGACACCCCTAGAGAAATCAACCACGGTTGAAGGAGCCGGTGCTGCTGCATGCAGATTACCTGGGAACCCAGTTCCACAGCCCAGGCTGCCAGGATCCCTGGCTTTTCCCTTGTACAACCTGGCAAGACCCGCACCCCAGCACAGCCCAGGTGCTTACCCAGAGAGAGCTCCCCCAAGTACTTCCCTACATCAACCCACACGGTGCCCCTGGCTCCTGTCTGCACTGATGGAATGGGTGAGGGCCCAGTACAAGCCTCAGGAGCCAACCAGTAGGGCGGGGGGTGGCGGTGGTCACAGGAAGGAAACGGGGCTGAAGCAGACTCCAGGGTGGCCTCCTGGCTGCTGCCTGGCCAGCTCTGAAGCCCCAGGCTGGTGACGTCACCTGGAGCCACCAGCCAAGCAGAGGGAGCCACCCACCTCTGCCCTGGGCTGTCCAGAGGGCCAGGGTGACCAGGCTTACCTCGATCTGCTGTGGAGCCGAGTTGATTCTCTGTCCTGCTCTATCGGTCACCGTGGCTGTCAGACTCGTCTGGCCAATGGCCACGCCGTGGACGCGGAACATGGCCGTGTAGTTGTCGAGGGCCTCGTCCAGGGCCCTGCAATGGGAGGAAGGGCTGGGACTCCCCCCAAACCCAAACCAAACCGTCCCCCCACTCCCAAACCCTCCTTGCTCCTCCCTGCCTGGACACTCACACCAAGGTGACAATCTGGGAGGCTGAGCGGAGTCGCAGGTCCATGAAGGCGAAGTACTTGGCCAGGAATGGCTTTTTGTGGAAGTCCAGCACGCGGACGTGGGCCGTGACCGCCTTCCCGATCTCCACCTGGCAGGGTACAGGGGCACACACGCTCAGGTGGGTGTGCACCTCAATACCTCTGCCACCAGACTGTCCTGAGAAAGGGCCCCCAGACCACCCAGACCCTCCGAACCCCACCTGGGAGTAAAGGGGAACTGCCTGTTTCCAAAATATCAACAAAGACCAAGAGTCACAAGGGGTGTCAGGCACAGGAAGCATTGCTACATGGCGTTTACAGCTCAGGGTAAAAACATAACAGAGACAGTCTACCGGGCAGGGCGCTTGCTTGTACACGGCCAATCCAGGTTCGATCCCTAGCGGCCCCCGTGGTCTCTGAGTCCCACCAGAAGTGATCCCTGAGTGCAGAGCCAGGAGCAGGCCCTGAGCACCACGGGTGTGTGGCCCCCAAACCAAAATAAAATGACACACATATACTGAAAAAGCCAGAGGCTTTATTTGCCCTGATGAAAAGGAGAGAAATTCCTTTTATTCCTCCCTTGCAATTTTTTTTAATAGATTTTTGGGCCATACTCAGTGGTGCTCAGAGCTTACTCCTGGCTCTGTGCTCAAGAATCACTCCTGGTGGGGCTCTCAGGCGACCCTGTGGGATGCCGGGGTCGGATCCAGGTGGGTACGTGCAAGGCAAGTGTGTTACCTGTTGTATTATCGGCCCCTTACCCCACTCTCCACCCCACCCCTTTCAAGAGCATTTTCTTTAGAAATCTCAGAACTAGAGGCACTTTCTCCTCTGCAGTATACACTGACCCTTTCTGAGAACCAGATCCTCCTTCTGCTGCTTATTGCGACCCAGGTGTGTTCTCCTAGGAGGCTCCCCGACACGCTGGCACAGACCCCACCCCAGACCGACACCCTCCAGCCAGAGAGGAGGATGCCGGAGAGCCAACCCCGGAAATCACCCCTGGGAAAAAGGACGTGGTCGGGAGGTGCTGTCAGCCTGCGCTGCCTGGGGCTCGAATTCCTCTCTCCCATCAGGTGAGCGGGCTGGGCTGGGCATTCCCCGCCTGGCCACGAAGCGGGCAAGCTGCGTGTCACCCGGTCTTGTGGCTTTGCCAACACGCGGCAGCCCGACTGCTTGCACGGGGCTCAAGCCTGGGGTCCCTTCACGGACTGTCCTGCAGTCCTGGGTCAGGAATACAGACAGGACAGTAGAGAGACACCCAGAGCCCTGCACAAACCCTTGTGGTCGCTCAGCTGTGGCAGGACACTTGGGGCTCTATTCTGTCCACCGCTGGGCGGTAGCCCGAAGACCGAGCCGGAGATTTTCCACTCCCACAAGCTGCCTGTGGTCTCACATTTATCTCTTGAATGTGTGCTTGTCCCACTCCCCAGAAACCCAGAAAAAATGAAGCAGCCCTCTCTCCACCCCACTCCCCTCCCTGCAGGACTGGATCTGTACTCCGTGGCCCCTGCAGAGGCGCCTGGCCTTGCGAGTGGCACTCGTTTGCCCCTGAAACCCTGAGCATCACAAACCCACACAGATCAGAGAATAGCCCCATTAGCAAGGTATGTGCTGGGCGCTAACGGGTGGGAATCCCCGCAGCGGGGCTGACCTAAAGTTGACTTCAGGTGAGTAGGTTCTGGTGAGGGCCGGGGTGGGTTGAGCCACACCTCGCGGTGTGTAATGCCAGAGACAGACCCAGGGTCAATGGGACTGGAGCAGCAGTACAGCAGGGAGAGCACCGACTTTGCCTGCAGCTTACCCAGGTCCAATCCCTGGCACCCCATATGATCCACTGAGCACTTCCAGAAGTGACCCTTAGCACAGAGCCAGGAGTAAGCCCTGAGTACGGTCAGGTGTGGCCGAAAAGCCCTCTACCCCTCCTCCCTGCCAGTAAAGCCTCGGGCAGTCTGATGGCCCTACCTGCTGGCCTCTGGACCCTCGGGCCAAGCACGTTGGCCAAAGTTTGCCATTAGCCAAGCTCCTCACGGAGAAGGAATCTGACCAGATGTTTCTCTCCTTCAGCCCCAGATCTCAGTACAAATGCTGCACATTTTGGGGGGCTAATGGAGGGGCAGGCCCCAGGAAGTAGGCAGAGGAGCAACACAACAGGCCTGGCCTTGCAGGCTCACACCATGTCCCTGCTGTCCAGGGGGCTGCAGAGGGGCCAGGGCAGGGTGTGGACACTGACCTTGTCGACCACGCGGACATACAGCTCCTGGATGTCCGAGACGAAGATTTCGGCCTTCGCGGGCGCCGGGAAGGCGAGGCACAGATCATGGACCATGACAGTGACGGAGCCTGGGAACAGAGGCAGCACCTGTGGGGGGAGGGGCAGGTGACACACAGCTCGACACCCCCCAGCACCCCGGGACCCATGTCTCATAAGAACCCAAGATAACTGCCCCACCCCCCCGCAGCGGGGACTCAGGGCACATGTGCCACTGGCTGTGTTTTATATGGGAAGAGAGTCCGGAGGAGGATTAGGACACAGGCTCCTGAAGCTTTGAATGCTGAGGGGCGTCGGGCCCATGGGGGTGTTATGTGAGCAGTCGGAGTTGGGGAGAGTGAGGGGTTGGGGGCTGCTCAGCCCCCGACCTCAGCTCACAGAGCCCAAGTCCCAGGAGGGGGCCCTGAAGCCGCCTCCGTCTCGGGAAGCATCTGAGTCTTTTTCTTTGCTGCCACCAGGCTCTCTCTGAAGCCAAGCGAACGGACACACCTGGGCTCGCTGCCTGCCACCCCCTGAACCCTCTTTCCCCACCCCGTCCAGACCTCCCACCTTCCCCAGGGTCTCTGTTGCTGTTAGCACCCCCCGTGGACTGAGTCCACTGCACAGGGGCCAATGCAGGCAAGGGCCAGTCCTAGGGCGGGTGGGTGGCAAGCCTGGCACACCCCCTGCCTGAGAGCCGGGCTTGGCTGCCCGTGGCTGCTGGTCTCAGTCACCAGCAATGATACAGGCTCAGCGCTTGCACAGCCAGAATCCGAACCAAGAACTTGGGGCCAGGTTCTGACCCGAGGGAGAGGAACAAGGGGGATCAGGTCCTGCTCAGCTCAGAGACTCTGTTCAAATCCTCGGTTCAGCCTCACCCCTGTTTTCTCTTTTCCAGCTGCAGGACCCTGGCTCCCACTCACAGCCCAGTCCGTGTGGCCTCTTGTGACCCCCCTGGCTAGATCCCCCAGCTCCAGCAAACAGACTGCTGGGGACCTCACCTCGAGGCTCAGTACCTGACCCCCAGCGGCAGCCTCAGGATGGACCGAGCCCCTGGCACGGATGAGACCCCAACAAACCAGGCTGGATTCCACTGAGAACCACGGCCCCTGGAGCCATTGCCATGGCAACCTAGGGCCGGGTGGGGGTTCGAGGAGGCCCCCCTCGATAAAGAAACATACAGACACACATGCACATACACAGACCCCACCCCCCACAGGAACTGGCTGGAACGGGCATTCTCTTTAAGAACAGAATTGGGGGCTGCGGTACCCTCAGGGAAGTGCCTGAGGGCCCCCAGGCTTCACTGCTAGGAGCTGCGGCAGGAGGGGCTTCCATGAAGGGGCCTCTGGCCTCTCTGTACACCCCAGAGGCACGCCTCACCCTGCTCCCATGAGCTGGCGGGAACCCCGCAGGGTGCGCTGTGGGAGAGACGAAGAGAGCGCAAGGCGGGGGCAGCCTCCTGGCACCTCCCTGGGTGCAGGTCTGCTGTCCATTCTGCGGCCCCCGGGTTCTAGTTCTCTGTGTCAGGGGTGCTGCCGACATGCATCTCTGCCCACAGAGATGAATGCTGGGTCCCGGGGACCTGCACACAAACACGCAGGGCCCACTGGGTCTGTGGATCCCTTACTAGTGGCCTTTGCACAAGGAGCCGGCAGAAATGTCATCCCCACCAGCACGGTCTGCTCCCAGCTCTGACAGCTCACCCATGTCATGTGGTGGGCCAGGCTCTGCAGAACAAGACGGGGGGTGACCTGTCCCCCAACAGGTGCCCCTGGGGTCTTTGAGGAGGACACTGACCTCATACAAGCTGGAGAGGGTCCGGGGTGGGAGTTTGGCACAGCCACGATGGCCCATGGTACTGGCCACTCCCTCAGTTGGGGATGGGCCCCCTCCCCACCCAATGTTGCTGGGCCTCCTAGGTGGACCCTGTGTCAGGGTACCAAGGGGACATGGAGAAAACCTGAGGTTTGTGCAGTCCATCTGACGGCTCTGGGATCCCCTGGACAGGGAGGTTGCAGCGGCATGAAATGGGGCCCTGCCTCGCTCCTGGAACCCATGGGCAGTGTGGGCAGGAAAGACCACCGGGAAGGCCTTTGCACCCTTCAGAGCACCCAGTGCCTGTCACCAAGGCGGAGATAAAGGTGGCTGTGTGGGAAGGAGGTGGCTGGCTGGGCACTGTGGCCTCCCATGCCCTCCCGCGCCAGCGGCCCCGTGTCCTGCGCTGCAGAGGCAGGAGGCGATGCCTGTCTGCGCTAATTGAGAGGCTGCCGTGGGCGCCTTGTCTCAGTGGTGAAGGCAGAGGAGAATGGCGCTAATTAGCAGCTGGAAATGCCCAAGTGATGTGCAAACGGGCTTCAAGAGCCACACGTGGGGGCCGTGGGGGCCGCCAGACTGCCAGGTGTCCTGACAGCTCCTGCTGGGGTGTCAACCCAGGGCACAGGGAGAGATCCCCACCTCCAGCGGGCGCTGCCAGGCCACGGCTTAGCCCCCAGAATGGGCAACAGCGCCTGGTTACTGGGGCACTCCAGGGTCCAAATCTATGGGGTGGGGGGTGTTTCAGGGGATGCCTCTCACCTGGGCCTGCCGAAGGGGTCAGGTCAGCCACGCGGACCCCATCCCATTCACCCAGGGCCACGGAGAGGAGACGCCTGAGAGGGCCCAGTTCCCAGCCCAGAGGGGCCTCACATGAAGGCCAGGGGGCTCAAGGCTGCCTTTAGTGTCTGAGCCTGAGGGCCCCGGAGCTGCCCACCCTCATCTTCCTGGAGGTCAGACGTGTCCTGCCTCTGCCTGGCTACCGCGCACCTGGGCCACTCATAACGGGGTGCCCTGGCACGAGCCTGCCTCTGGGGCTGCTCAGAGTTGAAGTGAGGAGGATGTGGGTCAAAGTGACCCCCGTCCCAGGCACTGCCCCCGTGTGCCCTGGCCTGGCCTTTCCCACTTCCTGACACCGGGAAGCTTGTTTTCATCCCTAGAAACGAAGCCAATCGCTGCAGCTGGCATCACTGCTGCTCGGAAGCTTTCCTCCGCGCATGAAGGTTGACAGGATGCTCAGCGGCTGGCAGGAGGTCGGCTGGGGATGAGTCTTGCTTTGTGAGGGAACAAGAACACTGGGGGAGCTCTCTGATGGCCCGGGGCTCCTCGCCAGGGCAGGCAGGGGTGGCACTGGGGGCACCAGCCAGCAGGGACTAGAGGCGTCCACTCCACAGAGGGCCGAGGAGCGTCCAGAATGGGAGGAGGAAAACCACCACCAACAGCCCCAACAGTGCCCAGCCTCAGGCAAATGCCAAGTATCAATGTGGACTCCTGTCCAGGCCCGAGGAGTCCCAAGGCCCGTCAAGGCCCAGATCAGGGCAGGAGTGTCAGTCGCGCCTTCTGCCTGCGTGAAGAACGGCTCTCGTCCAGAGAGACCGTGTCACAGGTCAGTGGCAATCCCCAGGTCTACATAGGCTCGACCACCAGCACCTGGCAGAGGGGACACTTCTGAGCCATTCCCCGAGGTCAGTGGTACTTGGATGCGCAGACCAGACAAGGCACCACAAGTGCTTTGGGCACAAGTGGGGACCCAGACTCTGTAGTAAGACACCCACAAACTGAATCAAAAACACACACACGAGGGCTGGAGCAATAGCACAGCGGGTAGGGCGTCTGCCTTGCACGCAGCCAACCTGGGTTCGATTCCCAGCATCCCATATGGTCCCCCGAGCACTGCCAGGAGGAATTCCTGAGTGCATGAACCAGGAGTAACTCCTGTGCATCACCGGGTGTGATCCCCCCAAACACACACACACACACACACACACATATACACGAAGAATGAAATACAGGGGCCGGGATGTGATTCAAAAGTGGCAGAGTTTATGCTTGCCTGGCCGAGGCTGGGGAGGCACCCCGTCACAGAGCCACAAATGCTCCCATGGTCTCCTGGAGCACCACTGGGAGGGTCTCACGGTACCAACACTACCACCGCCACCAGCAGCAGCAACACTCAGTATCACGGTGGAGCATCTCGCACCCTGGACAGTAAGTCTGGCCTAACACCCAACCGGCAACTAATGCATCCCGGTGACAGAATGAAGCCCCCAGCAAAACCATCACCGGATTCCTTCCAGGGATGCAGGAAAGCAAGAGGTCAGGGTGCAGTGTCCCTTCTCGAGGGGACGGAGGCTGACGCATCAGCAGCAGCTGACACAGGTCAGTGTGTGCTAAAAGCCACACAGAGACACGACACGCAGCAAAGCTGCTGCTTGCAGACGACAAAAGCCCTTACTCTTCATGCCTGCGTCCTCCCTAGAACATGCATTCTCTCTTTCTCTCTCTCTCACATCTAAGGAAGCTTCAGTAAGAACCATCTTGCTTTACTAAAATAAAATGAGAGCGATGAAGCCAAGGGCAGGTGCGCGTGGCTGACCCTGGGGTGAGCTGCACTCTATTACACAAGGCTGCTGCTCTCGCCCTGGCTTCCCTCACCAACTTCCTGAGACGGGGGTGGGGGTCCGAAGCACCAATTGGGGACCAGCCAGAGAAAACGGTCCTGCAGGGAACTGAGGCCGGAAAGCACCGCGCAGCAAGGCAGGGGGCTCCTATGTTCAGCTTGGCACAGACTTACCCACCCTGGCTGTGTTTTAGACATGGTGGCTGGGGGCCAGGCCACGGAAGGTGCATTCTGCCTTTAGACTTCCCTGCAACTTTTCACGCTGCTGCCGCCAGGGAGGAGAGCCCCGAATGGCCCCAGGTCTCACTGTGCACTCCTGTCCCCACACTGCTGAGCCTTGGGGGACCCAGCACACACTGGACCTACGTGGTCTCCTTCTGCTCTGGCTGAGGCTCACCTGGGGCTGGTCCAACTCACCCAGAGTCCTCTCGCCACCTGCTACAACCCTCGGCAAAGGCTTAACAGAGGCAAAGCCAGTCCTGTCACTCTAGCCTGTGGCCATGATTTCTGCCCCCCCCCCCCCCCATGGTCTGACACCGAGTGGTGGGCATTTCCGGCCAAGGGTCAACGTTTGTGTCAGCCTAAAAATAATCCCTTGGGGAGGACATGTGGGCCCCTGGGTCTGTCTCTACTCTCTGTGGTCACCACGAGGATATTCCAAAACTGCCTGAACAGTTGCACGGAGGAGGACATGGGTGAGTGCAAGCAGTGACAACAGAGCACAGTGGACCACTGGGCCAGCCGCATGGGGACAGGCTGGGGTGTTAAACCACAGAATATGCAGCGCTGAGAGCCCGACACCGGCCAGACGAGGGAGGGTCACATGGAACAGGTGGGAGGAGGAAGAGTCAAGCTGACTTAATGAACAGTTTCACCCAAATTCCAGGCCCAAGAGGACGTGCTAAGGGGAGTGTGGGGTATTTGTAGGTGTGTGATGAGACGCGCCAAGGCCATGAGTGGGGCAGCCCCTGGGGTCAGAGGCACATGGCTGGGCCGGGGTAGGGGGCACTCACCATAGCAGTGCTCCGGACCTCCTGATACACCACCTGGACCACATCTGCAGTGCTGGTGTTGAGGAAGAAGTACCCAGAACCTTCTCTGAGGAACAGCTCTGCCTGCAGGGGGTGATGCCGGGAGCCCAGGCGTCAGGACAATGGTCCCCTGACCCTGGGGCAGTGCCCGGGGGCGGCGTGGGAGAGAGGGCTGTACCTGCACCCTAGGGTGGTTGTAGATGGTTAGCGCTTCCGGGCTCACTCGCACGTCCTCCACCAGGATGAGCTCGAGGGAGGCTGAGATGGGCCCCAGAGGGTCGTGCTGTGGAGGCAGGGCTGTCAGACCCAAGGCTGCCCCCCAGGAGGGGCCTGGTCTCCCCAAGCTCCTGGGATACTGTGGTAGACAGCCTGGCCCAGAGGCCACGGAACACACAGCTGTGATGCTCACATAGGGTGCAGTGTACCTCCCATAGGTCACGCCAGGGTCACGGCCTGATTCAGCCCCTGACGTGGCTCTGTACCAGGCCCCCAACATGATGGGAAGGGGGGACAGCATCTGTGCCCAGAGATCCCATGCCAGTGTGGGACAGACAAGGAAAAACGGGGGTCCGAGTACGAGCCCCTGTATGCAAGGAGCAAATGTGATCCCTGATGCTGCAGGCCTGTGTCCTAGTGTTGCTGGGTGTCACCACTGAACTGTCTAGCCTGGCTGGCCAATGTCACCAGGAGTAGCCACCAGCCCCTCCCCCAAGCTGCTTAAGAGGCTCCCTGGGGCTGGAGCGATAGCACAGTGGGGAGGGCGTTTGCCTTGCACATGGCTGACTGGGGTTCGATCTCCAGCATCCCATATGGTCCCCCACGCGCCACCGGGAGTAATTCCTGAGTGCACAGCCAGGAGTGGAGTAACCTCTGAGCATCGCTGGGTGTGACCCAAAAAGCCAAAAAAAAAAAAGGTTCCCCCACCCTGGGCCCCCCAAAAGAGAAAGTCAGCAGAGGAAAAGGGGCAGAGCCCTGTGGCTGTCAGGGACAGCCTCTGGGGGCAGGAGCAGAAGTGCCCAGGTCCAGGGGGGCACAGAAACCCACAAACCATGGGAGGCCAAAGGCTCCTGGTACTCGGAATAGGGCCCACGTCACGTGGCTGCCACTGCCGCCCCCGGGGAGGCAGGCCGAGTCCTCCTGTGGTCCTCGAGTGTCCTTTCCTTCCCAGCCACCAATTGTTGTGCCCACAGAGACTGGGTGGGGGAAGCTGGTCCACGGGGATGGGGGTGCGGTGTGTTTGCGAGTGTGGGGGTCGGTATATACCCCAAGATGCTCCAACCCAGGGCGTTAGCATCCCATCTGTGCAAAGGTCAGGGACCACCTGACTGGTCTTGGGGGCTCTGGCCTGGGGGCCGGGGTGGGGGTGCGACTGGGGTACAGCAGGCCAAGGAAAGGTCTCTGGGCAGCAGAACAGAGTCTGGAAGCTCCTGAACTCCCTGGGGTGGGCTCAGGAGAGGGGGGTGGCAAGAGCGAGCGAGAAGGGGGCTGGGCGTTACCAGCTGCTTCACTCGGGCGGCGCCCAGGTGGGCCTGCTGGTAGCCGGTGGCGGTGACGGTCACTGTCGTGGTGCCTGAGGTCTTGTGGACCGCGATGGCCTGCAAGCCTGGGCGTGACGAGAGGGGCCACGTCAGGCTGGGCCCCACCACAGCCGGAGCACCCCTCCCCCCGCTGAGACCCGCCACCCCCAGATCCCCAACTGCCACCTGAGCGTGTCAGGGCCTGGCAACCTGACAAGCAGTAGGGAGGGAGAGAGCCACTGTGAACGGTCAGTGGGGGCAGCATGGCACATCGGGGTCAGGCCCCAGACACACGAGCCCACAACACTGGAGGTTCCTGCCACCTGCCCTGATGCCGTCTCGAGAGAGGGACACCAGAGGGTCCGGCTGGGAGCAGAGGGGACGGCCGAGCTGAGCCCTTGGTCTCGGGCAGCCCCTCCTGGCCACCCCTCTCACCGTGCAGCTTCTTCTGGCCACTGCCATCATCCTGGGCCTCCAGCCGCAGAGGCAGCGCTGGCTCGATGCTGGCCAGTGTGGGCCGACTGGACTCCCAGTGGAGGCTCAGTGAACTAAAGTTGTCGAATCTGCGGCCCTGCTGGTCGTAGGCGGCCAGGTCCAGCAGGGGGTCACGGTGGCTGGACACAGGAACCTGCCGAGGAGAACGGGGAGGCGTGAGGGGGACGGGGCTGTCCTCTCCCCCCCAAAAGGTGCCCCCTCGTGGGTTCCTAGTGAGTGCCACAGTGGGGGAGTGCATGGGATGACCCCCAAGAAGCCGCAGGCTCTGGGTCCCCAGCTCAGGGGTGCCGAAGCCGAGAGACCGCTCAGCCCTGCAGGCCCCATCTCCTTCTGCTGCCCCTCCCCCACACCCTGAAGATCCCCTAGTCTCCTTCTGTATCCCCCAACACACACCACAGCCCACAGCCACCCCGGTGCTCACCTCACTGGAATGCCAGTGAGAGTCCCCGAATGTGACCCGGATACCCCAGTAAAGTGGGCCCTGTCCCCAGATGGAGGATGGGGAAGAGAGTGTCCAGCAACCCTCGTCCTCCCCCAGCAGCTACACCCTGCAGACCCCAACCCAATCTCCTCATTCCTCCCATGGCAGGTCTGTCCCCACAGCCAGGGGCAGGAGGGGGGCAGCAATGCAGGGACCCCCCGCGTGCAGAGGTCACCCCTCTGCCTCGGCTATGGCCTTGGTCTCTTATTTGGCTCTGTGGAGGGGAATCACAGTGGCCCCCGGGGTCCCAGGCGGCTTGCGGCGTACAGCCTGGCAGCTGTGCCAGAACCCAGTTGGGTCTAAGGAGAGCTGGCTATGCGTTTAGACGCGTCCAGTGTCCATCGAGCAGGAACCTGCCAGGACCTTAGGAGTAGCATGCCACAGGTCCAGGCAGCGGGAGGGATGAGGAAGCCGTGGCCAGTGCCAGCAGGGCTTGCGCTCCTGAGAGGGCTCTGCAGCGTGGACACTCCTCAGTGGCTACCCCCCACCCCCCACCCCCCACTCTCCAACCCCGCACCATCTGGGCCCAGTGCAGAGTCAGCTGCCGGGGGCTAGGGCTGCTTGTCCCTGCAGTGCCACCTCCCCTGCCCTGACTGAAGCAGCCACCGTCCCCTAGGCTCCCAGAGGTAGGGCCACAGTGGCCTGGGCCTGGAGTGGCCAAGGACACAGCTGTGGCTGAGGGAGGGAGTTGGGGAGCTGTGAGCTCGGAGCGGGTGGTGGTGGGCGGGGTCGGGTGATCAGGGTCACTCTGGACACACCCTCCTCCCTGACGCAGCCTGGGAACAGGGCGGACCCTGCGCCACTCCATTGGGCCTTCTGGGCCCCACAGCAGCCGCTGTGGTCAAAACAATGTCTCTTCCTTACAAACCCAGGGGCAGCAGCATCAAGCCACGCACCCAAGGGCACGTATGGTGAGGAGCAGGCCTCCGCCAGGTCACCTTGAGGCCCTGAAGCCCCCAGACTCCTAGTCCCAGCTCCTTGGCCCCTGGTGCCTGGTCGCCAGCCTCGAGAAATGGGCTCCGACAGGGCGCTGGTCCCCCAGTTCTCCAGCGCCAGACGCATCCCGGCCTCTGGCCTTGGCGATAATTCACTCTGCCAAAGCTTCCTGGGCGACCTCCGGATTTGGAGAGGCGTAAAATTAAATTGATACAGCACCCAGGATGCCTCGCAGGGCTGGATCCTTCTCAAGGTCCCCTAATGAGACCATAAATTGCAGGGCCATGCCTGGCGGCCTCCAGTCCTCCAGCCCGGGGCTGATGGATCGCATGGCGCGTCTGTTCGAGGTCATTATTCCCTGGCAGGCACGAGATCTACGACGCACAGGAGCCAACTCGGAGCCGCGTTCTGCTCTCAGCCGCTGCCCTTCCATTCAGAGCCTGACCCAGGGGTGACAGGGAACAGATGGCCAGACGCGGTAGGCCCCGCACACAAGGACAGGGCAGACACCTGGGGCCTCACGGACCCTCCCTGGCCTGCGCCACCTCCCTCCCCGCCGGGCTGCTCCAGGCCAGGGGCAGACAACAGCAGGAACACAGACCCCCAGGGCACGTGTGCCCTCGATCACACACCCCACCCAGTGCGACCAGGAGCTCCGTTAGAGATGGCACGGAGGAAATCAACATGGGCCCACTGAGCTTGGTGCCCTTAAATGCTGAGGGGTGGGGAGCGGGGGCAGGAAGAGGAAATGTCGGGTCCAGCCCCCAAGATCTGACTCAAGGCTGGGGGTCGGCTAGGGAGGGGGCTGGGAATACAGGAGAGAAGTTGGAGGGGGCGTCCAGTGGGAATCCACTGAGGGCACAATCTATGTGCTCAGGGCATGATGGTGATCCAGCAGGGATTGAGTCAGAGGGACTCATGGCGCTGGGCTCGGTGGGCTTATTCTGTCAGTGGTGGGGAAAACGGCGCCCCCTGCTGGGCTTTGGTGGAACATTCAACAGTCGTGGTCCAGCAGCGTTTGCTGGTCCTGGGCAACAGCTGTGGAAGACGCGTCACTCCACCATCCTTCAGGTACTGGAGGGGGATGAGGGTCAGTATAGACCCCCACCTAACCCAGGAGGAGACAAGGCCCTCATCCCCACCAGTGTGCTGACGGTGGAGTGGTGCAGGTGTTGGCAAGGTGTGGGGAGGCTTGCAGGAGGCAATCCCAAAGTGAGGACGGCTCAGAACTCAGTCACGGAGGGGCCAGGGCGACAGGACAGCGGGAAGGGCTCTTGCCTTGCACGCAGCCACCCAGATTCCATCCCTGGCATGCCAGAGGGTTCCCTGAGCCCACCAGGAGCAAGCTCTGAGCTCCACCAGGTGTGACCCCCCCAAAAAAAACACCCCTCTGCCATGAAGGGAGTGTTTGTGACAGGACCCCCATCTGAGCTCCTGTCCCTCCATCTCCCGCTCATGTTTATGTGTCTGGCTCCCTGAGGAGGCTATACCCACTGCCTTTATGGGAGCTCTTGGCTCTTTCAAGGCAAGAATTGGCACCTTCACCCCTCTTCCTCACGAGGAGGCTCCCTGCCCAGATACATTTCGACTTTACTCTATCAGCCTCGTACCCCTGTCAACCCCACAGTTGTGTGGGGTGCGGGGGTCTTTTCCCAACCTGCCCAGGCAGACTTTCTGCTTAGGGATGAGAGGAGCGTGGGTCCAGGCTGCAAACCTGGGCCTGAGCAGCGTGAACTCTGGCTCCCCAGGAAGGAATGAAGGCAGGGAGACCCTGGCCCACGGTGGGCAAAGCCCTAGTGCACACAGAAGCCCACCCAACCATCACCAGAGCAGGGGAAGCCCAGCAGAAAGAGGTAGCCACCAGGGCCTGAGAGCCAACGGTTTCAGGGTCCCCAGTGGCCGGGTGCCACCTAACCCAAGCGCCCTCCTGGCTCACGGGGGTATGGTCAGAGGTTCCTCGGGGCACCCAGCGCTGGGCCGACTTGGGTACGAGACAGAGGTGAAGATGGGGCACCAAGACGGTGCTGGCCAGGCCCATGGGTACGGCTGGTTGCAGGCTTGCTGGGCCAGGAGAGAGGGGCAGCTGTAGGCCCAAGGGGCGCAGAGAATGAGCTCAGCAGAGGGGGTGGGAACTGTGGGAGGGGGTCCCCTGACCCTGAGCACAAGAGGCTCCTCCTGTTACCCCCCACGGGAGGACGGGCTGGGCTGGCCGCGAGCGCGGGGAAGACGTGCCAGATCCCCTGGAGCCAGAGGAACCCTGAAGCCCACACCTCTGCTCACAACCCCTGCCCTATCAGCGCCCCTTCCCCGGGGGTGATGCTGCACCTCACTCTGACCTCCTCACTGACCCCACTGACCCCTGTGAGGGTCTGACCAGTCACATAGGGCTCAGCTTCGTCAGGTGCCGTTCCCGGTATATGGAGCCCATACAAGGTCCAAAAGAGATCAGGGACGAGGGCCAGGATACTCCTGGTCCCCAGGGGACACTCAACCCCCAGAACATTCATGGTCCCCAGGACACTCAGCCCTCCCACCCCAGGACACTCGCTGTGCCCAGAGGACAATCCTTCCTGCTTTAGGAACCTCACTGGCCCGAGGTTCTCCCAGGTCACTCCTTCCAGGCCACCCTCCCCCACCCCAGGGCACTCACTGTCCCCAGAAGGTTCTCACAGCTCCCCAGCCCAGGCCACCCCCCACCCCGGCCACTCCCCACCCCGGCCACTCACCGCCTGCTTGTTGTGCTGAAGCAGAGGGCAGGCCATGTCCAGTGGGGGGCTGGCATAGACGGGTGTGACGGTGAGTCGGGAGGGCGGGGCGCACACGAACTTCACCACTGATGGCTCCACCGCCGGGAAGGGATTGGTGACGCTTGGCTTGTTCCCCACGGAGAGAGCGATGACCTGGGGGAGCAGAGGCTGCCGTCACCCCCCACTGAGGCCGGTGCTGCCCCCTCCATCCCGTCCCCGCTGCAGGACGGGAATGGCCATGGCACTACATCCCGGGGCTGACAAGGGTCCAGGGACAAGTGTCTCTGCAGACACAGGGCTTTGGGGGAGCCCCCCAGGCCCTGGACAGGTGTCAATCTGCCGCCCGCTCCCAATCCCCGCAGATGGAGCCCGTTAAGGGCCTCATAAAGAGATGTGGCCTGAGTTGGTGGCTCTTCCCGGAGACTCACAACTGACTGCGTCCAAGAGCTCAGGGATGAGCGGGCACAGAGGGGGCGCCGAGCAGGAACCCACCATGGATACAGTCCCCCGGCCCCTGCACTTGGCCCTCCCACCTCCCCGAGCCTCAGCTGGCCTATCTGTAAAACGGGTGGCAAGTTGAGTCACTCAAGGCTCAGAGGAACATCAGGGAGGTTCCTCACCTGCTCCCCCAGTGCCTGGCACGTCACCAGGACCCGGTGCTGCTGCTGGGGATTCCGGGAGGCGGGGGGTCCGGAGAGAGCCACACGCACACTGCCGGGGTCCTCCGACGTCACGTTCCGGGAGAACTTAGACGGCTCCAGGACCCAAGGCCTGGGACCTCCTTCAAAGAGCATCTCCTTTGAGGAGCCCAGGGTCACCAGGGCCACAGAGGAGGGGTCCACGGCCTGCGGGAGACACGAGAGACTCGGGTCTGCCTCTGGGGGGCAGGCGGCCAGGTGGCAGGTGGCCACTCCTGCCACATAAAGCTCTCTAGGCTCAGGCCTGACCGTCAGCACTGCACTAACACAACGTCTCATGCCGGCTAGGTTTGTGTCAAAAAGGCAGAGGAAGCGGCGGGGCCCAGCCAGGCTGGGGTATGTGCCAGCAAATGGGACGGGGGCATGTGCCGGTACCTGAAAGGCCCCTGCTGGCACATGGGCCCCTCGTTCTTCCCCAGCTGTGGCCTCACTCAACCTGAGTACTGAGTCACCCAGGTTGGCCGTGTATCACCAGGAACGACCCCAAGCCCCCTGCCTGGGAGACGACCCCCACCCCCACCTACCCGCTCTCCAGAAACTTAAACCCAGAACCACCCCGGGGCCCAGCAATCCCGCTGCTGGGCAAACACCCAGAGGAGACAGAAAATCTGACTCTGGGAAATCTGCACCCCACGGTCGCAGGTGCTCAGACATGGGCTGTCACGGGCAAACTGGTGGTGTGGTGGCATCACATGCATGCTGAGGGCATGATTCTGCCACCAGGGCAGCTGGCACCACGTAGACGGGTGTGACGGCATCAAAGCTGCAGCTGGAATGTGGGGCCTAAGGCAGCGGAGGGGGACGGGGACGAGAACAGCAGCAGAGCCTCACTCGGGAGCCCCTGGGTCCGATCCCTGGAACCCCACTGCTAGCCGCAGTCCTGGGGTCCCCTAAGCATCAATCGTCTGCTGGGAGGACCCCTTCCTAAGGACCCAGGACCAGTTCATGAATGGTGGGGACACACTGGGGACAGGCTGGTTGGTTCCACTGGTGGGATTGTGTGTGGGCTGTGAAACAGACACAAGGGTCAGGTGACAAAACAGCCGAGTGTGGGGGTCCCCACAGCCCACAATAATGTGCTGCGTGTCTGAGAAGCACCTGCAGTGCTCGTGAGAGAAAGACTCTGGGTCTCCACTCAGACATGGCCCGGGCACTTGAGTCCCACCTGCTGGGTCCCCAGGCACCCAGGGTCTGAGCTGCACCCAGAGCCACTGTCCCCATGGGAGTGGTCAGGCCTGCAGACCCCAGGTCCTGATCCCGCAGGCTGGAGGCTCCTCTTCTACCAAGTCCCGGAGGCACCCGAAGCCCATGTGACCCCGCCAGGGTCTGAAGGCAGAAACCGGGGAGCGGGGTAGGCAGGGCGGGGGCTCACCCGGAGGGGCAGGTAGGCAGCGATGGTGATGCGGGCGCTCAGTTGAACGTGGCCGTGCTGGTAGCTGACGAGGAGGGTGGTGTAGCCCTGGGTCTCGGCTTGCACCCGGATGCCGCTGCAGTGCTCCTTGCCTGGCGGCAGCCTCCCTACAAAATGGCCCAGATGACTATGAGCACCGGAGAGGGAGCCCGGGTGTGAGCACTGCAGAGAGGGAGCCCTGGGGCTCAGCCCACATTCCTGCAGCCCAGAGCTCTTCCCCAGCCCCCTGTGAGTGCCGCCCACAAGCCTCACTCATGACCTCATGACCTTCCGGGCTGAGCCCCACAACAGGAGCTGCCTTTGCAGCTCAGCCCAAAATCCAGGGATCCCCCGGAAACGGGTCTTCAGGATAGGAGACAGGAAACAAGGTGGCCTGCACGGCAAGTCTCCTGCGGACTCCGCCCATAGCCACTGCTCACCAAAGCGGAAGAGCGAGCTTCGTAGGTGTTTTCTACGGCCTCAGCACCGCTGGGTGTAAGCCCCAAACAAAAACAACAAAAACTCGGAGGCAAGGCTGAGTCCAAGCTCCTCTGAACCTGGCCCGCCCCACCCTGGCCCCCTCAAATTATTCTTTTCATCCCTCGTAGATTTTTTTTATCTCCCCACTTCCACGGCTGTCCACCTGCAGTCTCAGTTTAAGGGCTCGGTCCTGCAAGCTGTTCCCTGCCCCCACTCTGGATGTGAATCCTAGGCTTGGGGTGTTGCGGGCACTGATCACCGAGTCCTCTCTCTCCCGTCCAGCTACCCCCCCGGGCTTCCCACCTGCCTCCAAACCAGGGTCCCGAGGACCCTTCTTGTGTGTGAAGGATCTACAGAATGTAGAAACACTGGCCACGGGCTTGTTAGAAAGGATGGAAGCGGGTCACTGTCAGAGGGGGTGGGGGTGGGGGTGTCTGAGCTTTCAGGCCCTCTCCTAGGGCCTTCCCTGTGTCCACTGAGGCAGAACCACAGAGCCCCAGCACTGGGTCGTGCTGGGTCACATCTCGTGAAATCACAGGACCCGTGAAATCCATGGCACCTCCTCGTCTCCCTCCTGAGGTCCACGGGGCTGGGGGTGCTTCCCCCCACTCTATCTGCATGACTGGGGGCACCTCGGGAAGAGAGCACGGCTCCCTTGGGCCCTCATCATTCAGGAAGCCCTAAGAGGGAGGGGCCAGGGCCAGAATGAGGGGCTCCTGTGGGGGTGGGTACCAGCTCTGCTTCTGAGACCCTGAGTCTCTGGGGCGGCCCATGCGGACCCCGGGGCTGGCTTACCCGGGAGCGGCTGGAACACGCCCTGGTTCTCCACCTGCACCTCCAAGTTGAAGTGTGAGCAGTCGCTCAGGGTGACCAGCTCGCCGTCCCCGCCGGGCATGAGGCCGACGATCCATAGGGGCAGCTCCAGGCTCTGGCCCACACGCGCCTCCACCGGGCAGGGGGCGAAGGCCATGCTGCTGGGCTCGATCACGTACACCTGGGGTCGAGGGTACAGACTGGGCACTGCCGGCCGGAAGGGGAGGGCACGTTGCCCCAACTCTCGGAGCATGGAGCTTCCGAGGGAGGGCGGGCTGGGGAGCAGGGCCGTGGGATAAGACGCGCAGGGCACGGAGCCCCATGGAGGGGTGAGAGTCTCGCCTGGGGTAGCCTAAAGTCTCGGGGGAACATTCTGGGAGGGAGGGAAAGACGGTTTGAGCAACAGTCAGAGGCTGACCACAGCCTCTGGGAACATGAAGTGGGGAGTGGTGACGGGAGGGAGCAGGAGACAAGGGGTCTAAGGGCAGGGCCCAGGCAGGGCGAGAGCATCCGTCTCCACTGCAGCAAGGGTGCTCCTAGGAAACCCAGTGAGAGGCCAGATGCCCGTGGTGTCGAGGTGTCCACTCTGCACTCGACAGCCACAGAACCACACGGACCTCGCTCCAGGCTCCCCTGAGGGCACTGAGAGCTCAGGGGAGCCCCCTGGCCCCCTAGCCCAGAAGATTCTAGCATCAACTTAAGTGATAAAGAAGCAGATGCAAGAGCTGGAGGGGTCAGGCTCTGCCCATCAAAGCGCCTGTCCTAGGACCCGTCCACTGGCCTCCAGCCGGGTTCTCAGCGAGGGGTTGTTTAGGAGGAGGTCAGAGTTTAGGAGGAGATGGAACTGTGACACTGGTAGAGGGGCATGGTGACTCAGGGGTGTGTATGTGCATGTCTGTGCACACATGTGTGTTAAGTGTGTGCTGAAGCATATGTGTTAGGGGTGTTTGTGTGTTAAAGTTGTGTATGTGTGTGCATGTTAGGTGCATAAACATGTTAGTTATTCATGGTATGTGCTCACGTGTGTATGTTAGGAGGTGTTCACACACATGTATTAGGTGTGCATGTGTGTTAAGGGTGTGTAAGCATGTGTATCTTAGGAGGCATGTCTGCACATATGAGTATCAGGTGTGTGTGTGCACACATGCTAAGGGTGAATTTACTCGGGTGTAGATTAAGAGGTTCACTGTCCACTGTCCTCCCATCGTTCAACGATTTGCTCAAGCAATGGCCCAGTAATGTCTCCATTGTGAGACTTGTTACTGTGTTTGGCACATCAAATCCGTCACGGGGAGCTTGCCAGGCTTTGCTGTGTAGGCGAGATACTCTCGATAGCTTGCCAGGCTCTCCAACAGGGGCAGAGGAATCGAACCCGGGTTGGCCGGGTCGGCCGGGTGCAAGGCAAACGCCCTACCTGCTGGGCTATCACTCCAGCCCAGATTAAGAGGTATGTGAGCACAAGCATGTATTAGGAATGTCTGTATGCACATGTGTTGAACGTGTGTGTTAGGAGGTTGTACGTACATGTATGTTAGGGGTGTGTACATGTGTGTTGGAGGGGGTCACTGCGAAACTACATGACTATCCTCACTCCGGAAGGAAAGGTCAGGACTGATGCATTGTGGAAACTGCTTTCTGCCCTGGAGTGGTCAGGTGGGCAGGCGTGGGGACAGCCCACTGAGGCGGGAGTCGTGTTGAAGGGACCTTCAGACAGGGCTGGCAGAGGTCCGGCTCTGGGCATGTGAAGAATGGGGGGTTGTGTGTGTGGAATGCGTGGGCGTGAGTGGGCATGGCGTGAGTGAAGGTGGTGCTCCCAGTGAGTGGGTCCCGGCACTCAGATCTGGAAGCCAGGTGTGGGGGCCGAGCACCGAAGCCCTGGGCTCCCTGTATGTGAACATGAGTGAGGGGGAGTTGGGCCCGGTTTCCCAGGCCCTGGGGCTCCCCATTCAACATGATGCTGAGCCCACACTCAGGACGGCCTCCGATCTGGAAATTCCCAGGAACCCATCTGACCCTTCATCATATCACACCTCCCGGGCTCTCTGGCCTCCCTTTCCGCCGCCTCCCCCAGTTCTGCTGACCCCAACCAGATGGGGAAGGGGAGGGCTGGCAGACACCCCCGGCCCCAGGTCTTACCTTCATCTCCCCGAAATGCAGCGGGTTCTGCAGGTCATGTGCCTGGATCACACTGAGTCCAGTGTCGCTGCCTGTGGTCATCACCCCCTTGACGGTCACAGTGGCCACTGTGTAGCTCGATGAAGACCAGCTGAAGTTCCCGCTCCCACCTTGTGCCTGGGGAGGACATGCTGCCTGTCAGTGCCTGTCTCCATGCTCGCTCACCCTCACTCACCCCATGCCCACTCACGCCCACGCATTCCACACACACAACCCCCCATTCTTCACATGCCCATTCACGCTTCCACATACGCAAACACACTCCACATACTCACACCCGTTAACACGTCACACACTCATCATGCTTCCACACAAGCACAAACACACCACACTCACTCATGCTCCATCACAGACCCTCACACACACAATACTCCACAACACACAACCCCTACTTCTCACACATACCCATTCATGCCCCCTCCAGCCCACACACCTTCCTACGTGCATATTCCACACACACACATACACACACACACATACACACACACACACTCACATCTCCACAGAATGCCCCACACTCCTCACACTCAACCCTCACAATCTCCACTCCTCACACATGCCCATTCATGCCCCCTCAAGCCCTCACACGCTCCTACATGCATACTCCACACACTCTCACATACTCCACAGAATGCCCCACTCTTCACACACCCTCACACCCACAGTCTTCACTCCTCACACACATCCCCAGACTCCCTCACACACATACTCCGCACGCCAAATCGCCCCGCTCCTCACACACTCGGTCACACCCATTTACACATCACACACAATCCCCCCCCTCCGCAGTCTCACACTCACGGCGCCTCACACACACCCTCACGCACGCAGACTCCACACACACCACCCCACTTCCCACACCCACACCATCGGCCTCACACGCCCCCCCCCCCGCACCCCCCGGGGGCACCATGGCCGCAGCCCCCACTCTCTCTCGAGACCAGCCTCCTTTCGGGGCCTGACACCTGCCAGCGGGCACGCTTGCTCCTGCCCAGGAGCTACCAGGCGCCAGGGGGGCTGCTGACATCCTGGCACTTTCCTGGAGCAGGAGCACCAGGGCAGACCCCAGAGAGGGGCCGCGACGGGGATGCACCTGGAAAAGCTATGAAAATCTACTAAGGAAACCCTAACCCAGGCGCGTGCCTCTCGGGCGTGCCTCTCGGGCGCCAGGGCACCGATGACAATGACAACCTTGGCCTCAGCCAACGAGAAGCCTGCTCATTGGCTGGAGGAAAAGTGGGGCTCTCGCTTGCCTCCAATGGGCACGCCCCGTCCTCCTAGGCCCGCCCCTTTTGCCCCGCCTTCACCGAGAGGCCGCTCCTTCCTCCGAGCCCCCTGGAAAGTGCTTTGAAAGCTGGTAGGAGGAAAGAATGGATAAAACTTAGAGCAAACAGACAGGGTGAGAGGGTGATTTGAGGGACGGAGCGATGGTACAGCAGGGAGGGCGTTTGCCTTGCACACAGACAACCCAGGAGCGATCCCCAGCACCCCATAAAGCCCAAGGAGCACTGGCAGGAGTCTGGGGCATCTCTGGGTGTGACCCACCCCCCAAAACAAAAGTAATTTGAAAAAAGAAAAAAAAAAGAAAATCCAAAAGATGAATTAAACTAAGAGCTGGTTCTTTGAAAAAAATAAACAAGATCGACAAACAAGAGAGAGAACCCTAAGAAACTGAATTAGAAACGAAGGGGGACATCACAACAGACACCACAGAAATCCAAAGGAGCATCAGGGTCTACTCTGAAAGTCTCTACGACACAGAATGGGAGAAATGGACGGATTTTTGGACTTCTATAATCTCGCAGGCGGGCACTAGAGCACAGCACCACGGCTGCAGATGCTGAGTCAGACCTGCACCAGGGGGTCTCCGGGTACCTTTATGGAGTATTGATAGGAGCCAGTCTTTGGTTGCCATGGAAATGTCAAGATGCTGGGATAGAGGGTGATGGGGACATGAATTTCCACCTCCTGCTGGTTCCACACAGGCACCCGGAGTGTATGGACACCTCCATCCTGCAAAGGGCACAGGATGTCACCATGACAATCAGGTTGTGACAACTCTCCCTTTCCAGAACCCGCCCCTTCCTGGGGCTCAGGGGTCCAGGTCAGGTCCCAAAGGTAGATTCTTTGAGGGCAGGGTCAGGGTGATGCTGGACCCCCTGCACGTGGCTTCCATGGCTCTGAAATCCTGCTCAAGTGAATGCTGTTGAGCGCCCTCTTCAGAGTACCCCACTTTACAGATAGGGAAACCGAGGCACAGGCACCAAAGCAATCCTCCCAGAGCAGGGGCAGACTGCTTCTCAGCGACAGGGAGGAGCGTATTCCTTGGGGTGAGGGAATGCTGGGTACCCAGCTGCCAAGAGCACGAGGGGGCTTCATGCTCCTGGCTGGGGCACACCTGAGCCCCCTCTTCTTTCTCAGCACAGAAGGGCTGGGGGTCAGCAGAGCACAGAGGAGGGGGTCCCAAAAAGGGCCATGGAGGGGGATCCCGACCCTCACCCACACCCCCATAAGCCTAAAGGGCCAGACAGGCTCTCGCCAGCGGCGGGTCATGTCTGCACCCGCCTGGTCTATCACGGAGGTGAGGGCAGCCTCGATGGTGGTCTGGCCCCTCTTCACAGCCTTGACGTAATGATACGAGCCGTTCTGTGAGGAGAAGAGGACCTCGAAGAACTCGGGGGGCAGTGATGTCTCCATGCGGATGTTCTGGAAGGCACGGGAACAGTGAGGGGCATGTCCGCACACACGGGGGGCAGGGGCACGGGGGGGCCCACAGAAGTGGGACCAGGCGCTGGCATCCACAGACTGTCCCAAGGGCAAAGCAGGAGGCTGATGCCACAGCTACAGGGTATGAGATGCTGCCCAGTGCCAGCACCCCACCTCAGGAGACACCCCCCTGCAACCGCCGGGCACTCACGTCGGACAGAAACACCTTGTTGCCGGCCTTGTCAAGCACCTCGACGGTGATTTCGTACAGGCGGCCCGTCTCCAGAACCCACCTGTCCCCGGGGTGCACCGTGAACCCTACAAAACAAGCAGGTGGCAGGTCTAACCCCTCAGAATGGGGCCCGCAGCTGAGAAAGGAGGGAACACGCACCTAAAACCCCTGACCTGGAACCCCTGACCTGGAAGGGAGAAGCTCTAAGGATGGAACCCAGCAAGCCGCCAGCTGAGCCTCGGAACGGAACAGTTCCGGCGGCAGTTCAGGGCCTACGGGGCCCACCAGGCCACAGCCACTCTGATGGTCGCAGACTCAGACCTGCCACAGCAGATCACACACTGAAGCAGAGAAGGCCCAGGGCCAGATTCCAAACAGCCCACTCTGAACCCATGGCGGTTCTATGCCCCGAACCCACAGTGGGTCTACACAATAAACCCACAGCAGGTCTATACCCTGAACCCACAGTGGATCTACACCCTAAATCCACTGTGATTCTACACCCTGAACCTACAGTGGGTCTACACCCCAAACCCACAGTGGGTCTGCAACCTGAACCCACAGTGAATCTACACCCTGAACCTACAGTGGGTTTACACCCTAAATCCACTGTGAGTCTACACCATGAACCCACAGCGGTTCTACACCCTGAACACACAGCGGGTCTACACCCCAAAGCCACAGTGGGTCTACACCCTGAATCCAAGGTGTTCTATGCTATGAACCCACTTGTTCTACATGTTGAACGCGCAGTAGGTCTCTGTCCTCCTGCCAGCACTGAGCACACCTACCTGGATGCCCATCCCCCCGCTCCACCAGCTCGCACCCTAACATAACTCTCCCCTACACGCCATAGTCCCAGCCCTCCCCTGCCAGAGCCACCTGTGGCCTAAGCGGCTTCTGTGCAACAGCCTGGCCTGCAACCTTTCCTGCTGCTCCGCGTTCCCCCGACGCGTGCCTGCCACGTCCTCCCTCAAACCCCATGTCCAACAGAGCCCAGACACTCCCACACATATGCGCCCACCTCTTCCTCCTCCAAATCCCATGTCGGCAGAGCCCAGACGCTCGAGGCATCGAGAGTGTCCCCAAGGGAAGGCCCCTCCTGCCCCTTGTCCCACAGCACTGGTGACCTCATGGGGCACCAACAAGGCCCTCGGAGCCAGCCTCAGAGCTCAGGAGCGGGTGCCCGGACCGCCTCAGTGTCCTTACCCCCATGTCCACTCAGATGGAAGGACGCATTTCTCTGTGACCCGGGGTACTACATGTCCCCCTCAGTGTCTCCCTGGTGCTGGCCTGCCCCTTGCTCTCCTGCCGGGGGACCTCTCAGTGTCACAGGACCTCACAGGTACCTCTGTGAAGAGCTGAGCACCAGGCCCCGGCCGTGGGTGTCCATCAGGAGAGGGATCCCCCACCAGCCCCATCTCTCCCTCCTTCTCCCGCTGCTGCTGGCTTTTCTGTAGTGAGGGGAGAATGGCGGGGTACTCCATACTCACCCCCCGGGCCCCGCCTTGAATTGTTTGTTTTCTGCCCCTGCAATGCTCAGGCCTCACCAGTGATTCCGGCCCACTGGGCCAGCATCAGTGTGAGGGCCAGAGGGTGGGTGCTGCTCAAATGCTGCGCGCTGGGCACCCGGGCCACCCTGGGGCAGTGGGGGTCTCTGGGACCACACCCGATGGTGCTCAGAGACCATGCGGTACCGAGAATCCATCCCGGATCAGCATGTGCCCTAACCATTGCACTACCTCCTGGCCTTGATGGACTTTCTAATTTGCTTGCTGGGTTTGAGGCTGGCAGTGCTGGTGCCTGGCAGGGGCTGGGGGGCTCTACGAGCTCCCAGGGGTGTCAGCTGTGATGAGCCCCCAGCCTACCATCCTAGCTCCCTGGCCCCTGGCGGCCCTGCCGCACTCACCCAGGTATCCGGGTTCCACCACGTAGATGGTGCTGTTGGGGAGCCGGGGCGCCTCCTGCATGCGCAGGCCTGAGAGCGGAGTTAAGCGGGAAAGCCCAGGAGAGCAGCATGGCTCTGCGGGGGCCTGATCCCCGCAGGGCTCAGGAAAGGGACGAGCCAGTAAGGAGAGCCGCGGAGGCGAGCGAGCGGCCAGGCCCCCCCTCCCACCCGCCTCTCCACGGAGCAGCGCGGAGGTGAGCGGTGCCACTCCGCCAGGCTGCTATTTTGGTTCTTTCTGCGTTTCAGACCTGGAGGAGAAACGAGGCTATTTTTAGCCTCGCCGAGCTTTCAGGGAGAAAAAAAAAAAAAAACGCCTCCCAGACAGCAAATCTGGCGGGGCGGCGGGAAGGATACTCTTGTGGCCCAGGACCAGGCTGCTCTGGCCCAGCTGCACCGCCGTGACCGTCGACGTGTCCTGGGCCAGCACTGCCACTGGCCGGCGCGGGTCTCCCTCGGGGTCCCAGATGTCGTTCTGCAGCTGCAGCTCATACTGGTCGGAAGGCATGGTGAGCTCTGCGTGTGGGAGGGGGGCAAGAAAGGGAGAGAGAGAGGGAGGGAGAAAGGGGAGGAGAGGAAAGAGGTAAGGACCCCATGCCCATCCAACCACCAGCCTCGCCCCAGTACTGCAGACCTTCCTCTTCTGTGTTTTCATCTTTTTTATTTTTGGTTTTTGGGTCACACCTGGCGATGCACAGGGGTTACTCCTGGCTCTGCACTCAGGAATTGCTCCTGGCGGTGCTCGGGGGACCATATGGTGGTGCTCGGGGGATGCTGGGAATCGAACTCCGGTCAGCCACGTGCAAGGCAAATGCCCTACCCGCTGTGCTAATCGCTCCAGCCCCATTTTCATCTTTTTTTTTTTATCTTATTATTTCTTGGGCTATGCCTGGCAGTGCACAGGGGCCGCTCCTGGCTCTGCAATCAGGAGTGGCCCCTGCAGAGCTCAGGGGACCAGTGAGTGACCCAAAGCGGACACACGCACGACACACGACACGTGCCTTCCCTCCTGAGCTCTCTCTGTAGCTCCACTTCCTCCTGTCTCGACACTTCAGTTTTGCTGCGTCCCCCCGACCCCCACCCCATGCTCTACACAAGTCCAGGTGTGAGCTCTCGTTTTTGTGCTTTTTGCAGCCCACTGCCAGCAGCCCGGCCACCTGGGCAGAGTTTGTGGGTCCTTCACTTCTGCTCGCCACTTCTGGTCCTTCACTTCTGCTGCGTCTCCCGTGGGGCTTCTAGAAAGGCCCAAGGCTATGGGGTCCCACCAGGGGTGGGAAACTGGGTCTATAACTTGCAGCCAATTTTCTGTGTATCTGTCCTTACAAAAATCAGTCGCCCCACTCCCCTCACAGAAGGGAAGTTGCCCTCTGAGCCTGGGAGCAAGCGCATTCTGGGGGAGTTAAGGATATGACCCAGGGGAAGTACCGGCCGGCAGCACCCACCGCCTCACCAGCTGACTCCTGCGGCCTGCAGGTGGCGACATCGAGCACGATGCCAGGCACCCACTGGGCAGCAGCCGGCTGACCCCTCCCGCTGACCCCTCCCATGACAGCAGCCACAGCAGCCACCGGGCGGCAGAGCTGTGCTAACAGGCACCTGAAACAGGACATGCCTGCCCTGAAGAGGGCCTGTGGGAAGCTGGACGGAAGCATCCCACGGCTGCGTGCAGCAGAGGTGAGGTTCAAAGCAAAGCCAGCCTGAACCCAGACACGCTTTCTCCTGGGCCACAGGCTCCAACACAGTAACACAGGGTGTTGGCGCGCCTCTTGGGATCTAGCTCAGTGCCTCCCATCACGAGGCGGCCCAGGGGGACCATCCCGGGGAAGTTTCCAGTATACTACACAGAATTCAAGGGAGGCTGAGGAGTTGGGGGACGGTCTTCCTTCATTTCTGTCCTCGGGGGTCTTTTGGATGTCCTGGGAGAGGCCAGTGTGGTTTCTGGAGGGGTGGGGGTGTGGCTGATACAATACACAGATACAACACACACACCCCATAACATACGCACACACATCTTATGTACCCACACACCATACACACATAGTGCATACCACACAAACACACCCCTCACACATCATACACATAGTATATACCTACCACACAAGCACACCCACACACCACACACATCCCTCACACAGCGTGCGTACGCACGCGCACACACACACACACTGTCCAGAGAGAGGCACCTCGCCACAGCACGGAGACCCCCAGGCTCCCCAAAGGGCCAGTGTGTATGTGACCCACACCCAGGTCAGCCACATTCACAACTCACAGACTTTGGGCTGGGCCAGGGGACTGGAACTTAACAGACCCTGAGCTGTGGGCCAGGAGAGGGCGTCAGTGATGGACACGCCATGAACACAGTCAGCGTCAGCAGCAGATGGCATCACCGACCACGGGCCCTCTGTGCTGTGTGTGATGTGCATTGCGGCACGACCAAAAGGTGCCTTCACGGGACCTGACATTTTGGGGCAGCACTGCATAGCGACCCACAGGGAGCAGGACCTGACAGTGACCTCCAGAGCAGGACCTGACAGTGACCCCGGGGCAAGACCTGACAGTGACCCCCAGGGCAGGACAGGATAATGACCCCCAGGGCAGGACCCGACAGTGAACCACAAGGCAGGGCCTAATGTGACCACTGAGGCAGGACCCAACAATTACCCCCAGAGCAGGACTCAACAGTGACCCACAGGGCAGGACCACACGGTGGCCCCCGGAGCAGGACCCAACAGTGACCCACAGGGCAGAACCCGATATGACCCCCCAGGGCAGGACTCACCGGTGATCTTCCCCTGCCTGATCTTCTGCACCCGGTAGCGGATGAAGGTACCCACCAGCAGGTGGACATCGGATGCGGGGGTCAGCAGGATGTTCTCCAGAATCAACAGCCTCACCTCCGCTGGCCGGACATTCTGGGCATGGAGGAGATGGGGGGCTGGTGAGCTGGGGGCGGGCACAGTGTGGGGGCGGGGAGGGGGCAGGGGTGCAGAGGGCAGGGGTGCGGGAACAGAGGCATTAGGGCGCCTCAGCCTGCTCCTGTGGGTGCAGGAAAAGTTGGGGGTCAGTAAGGCACACCCAGAGCCAGGCCCAAGACCCCAGAGCTCAGAGAATAGGAGACCCCCAACAGGAAGGAGATTTCAGCGATAAGCAACCAGGAAGGAAAGTGGCGGCAAGAGTAAGGGGGTATATGGCCATGGGGACCCCAGGGGCCCAGGGGTTCACCCCACAAATCCCCAAAGGACTAGAGAAGTTAAAAAGCTGCAGAGAGCCGAAGAGGAGGTGGGGGGGTTCAGGGGGGACACATGACTTCAGCCTGAACCCCCCTTGCTGTTCTCCACTCCTCTCCTGCCCATCTTCCATGACCCCTAGGAAAGGTCCTGAAAGAATCTTCAAGCAAGACCCCCAAATCAAGCCTAGCCCAACCCTCAGGCCAGTCTCTGGGGGGCCGACACCTTGCACCCCACACCACCTTCCAGCTGGCCTTCCGAACTTCCAGCTGGCAGTCCTGAATTAAATCCCTGGCACCCCATAGGGCCCCCTGAGCCCCAGGAGTGATGCCTGAGTGCAGAGTCAGCCCTGAGTACCAGCTGGGTTTGGCCCCCAAAATAAAAAAAAACAGAAGGAACTCTAAAATCTCGTCCAAACCTCACTCAGCCCCTCCCAGCTTCAAAGTGGGCGCTGATGGAGAAGTGGGTTCAGGGGAGGCCGGACCAATGTGGGGAGGGCAGGGGTCCGAGATGGAGCCCCACCTGGGACTGAGCCCCACCCTAGAGCAGGGGCAATGACGGGGGGCAACCCCTGGACCTCATAGAACCAGAGAACTTGAAGGAAATAAGCTGGGGGGAAGCCCTGGACCTGGGGCAAGATAACCGAGCAGGAGGGAGCTGGGCCCCCCACAGGCCTGCGAGTGACCCCCAAAGCCTGGACTCACGCCCAAGGTTGCCGTGGAGAGAGCCCCTAAGGGGGGGGAAGGGGAACAGCTGCCCCCAGGAAGGGCCCTGGCCACCCGCCTGCCCAGCTGGCCACCTTGTACACGGCCTCCTGGATCCGTGCTTTGAGCCGGGAGCTTCCGGTCTTCATCCCCGACACCAGGACGGTATCCCCCTGCTTGGCGACTTTCTCCATCTCTGAGATGTAGGCCGGGGGGATGTAGGTCGACTCCGAGAAGGTGAGAATCCTGGGAAGGTGCAGGTTGTCAGGGCCGAAGGGCGGGACCAACTCACCCCCCGCAGTGTCAGGCACTCACACAGGCAGGGCGGCCCCCGGCGGTGGGTGGCACTTGGGGACACACCCCAGTGACATGCCCCAGAACAGCCTCTAAGGTTGCAGCTTGAACCAAACGCGGAGGTCATGAAACGTTATTAAAAATGTGTTGCAAGATGAATTTGTGGGAGGAGGTGGCACGCCCAGCAGTGTTCAGGGCTTACTCCTGGCTTTGTGTTCAAGGATCACTCCTGGCAAGGCTCTGGGGACCATACAGGGTGCTGGGGACCAAACCCGGCTTCGATCACCTACAAGCAAGTGCCCTATCCAGAGTACGATCACTTTGACCCTTACCGGCAAGATAAAGTGCTTTACGATTGGTTATCAGTAAGTCTTGGCTTATATGCCTGTTCTTCACAGTCAGAGATGAACACAAAATGCATTTCTGAGCAAGGGGCCAGACACAGTATTAGTGGTTAAAGCACCTGCCATGTACACGCCAAACCCCAGAGACATATACAGGGTTAAAGCACTCGCCTTGTATAAGCCTAACCCATCATATATGGCTCCCCTAAGCACTGCCAGGGGTAACCACCAAGCAGGGCCAGGAGTAAGCCCTTGGGCACCACCAGGTGCCTCCCCCTCCGCCAAAGAAACTCAGCCCGAAGGGAAGGAGGGGGAGCCCATAGAAAAAGTAGAAGCTGCCCCAGGCTCCAAGTGCTCGAGTTTTTGTGAAAATGCAGACTGCATGAAATTTGCATACAAGTGTTACTACATGGAAAGTATCATGTTAAGCGAAATGAGTCAGAAAGAGAGGGACAGACATAGAAAGATTGCATTCATCTGGGGAACATAAAGTAACAAAATAGGAGACTAACACCCAAGAATGGCCGAGATTAGTACCAGGAAGTTCACTCCATGGCTTGGAGCCCAGCCGCACATGCTAGGGCAAAAGGCAGCTCAGATAGAAAAGGGAGCACCAAGTAAAGGGTGTTGGGAGGATCCTCCCAGGATGGGAGAAGCATGCTGAAAGTAGACTATAGACAGAACATGATTGCCACCCATTGCCTCTTTCGCAAACCACAGCCCCCAAAAGGAGAGAGAGAACAAAAAGGAATGCCCTGCCACAGAGGTAGGGTGGGATGAGGGGGATGGGGGGTGGGAGGGATACTGGGATCAGTGGTGGTGGAGAATGGGCACTGGTGGAGGGATGGGTACTTGATCATTGTATGACTGAAACCCAAGCACAAAAATGTGTAAGTCTACAACTGTACCTCATGGTGTTTCACTAATAAAAAGAAGAACAAAAAGAAAATGCAGACTGCCTGGCCCAGCCTGAAGCCTGGGGGTCTGCCTATTATCTACATCCTCTGAAATCATGAGAAACCTGAAAACTGAGGTTGGTGGCTTAGTCAAAATGCTTCTGGGACACAGGCATGGGGCCCAGAACGGAAGGATCACAGGGCCGCTGAGGTAAGGAGGAAGTGAATGGCCGAGGGGTCACTGTCAGACCACCAGCAAGCAGGAAGGCTGGGGCTGGAACTGGGGGCTCCTCCAGGCATCCCTGAGCTTACCCAGGGCAAAGCACAGGCGGTCCCAGCCCACCAGGAGCCCTGACCCTGTGTGTGTGTGTGTGGGGGGGGGGTGACCAGCTCACACAGTGTTTGCTGGGGGTCTGTGCATGAAGCCCAAATGTAACAGGCCAGAGCCAACTGTGAAGCCACAAATGAACACCAAGCTCTTAGTGCCCTGCCAATCCTGCTGAGATGTGATGGTAGGGAAGGTGTGTGTCTTGCTCGCAGCTGATGCCGTTCAATCCCGGGCACATTTCGTGGTGGACCTGCAACTTCACCGGGGGCCAGGTGGCCATCCCGAATTAAATCCCTGGCACCCCATAGGGTGAACTGAACTGCCGTCCAGTTGGTGATCTGTTGTGGTTTTGTTCTGTTGTGTTTTTGTTCGTTATTCCAGTTCTCCGCCCCACCCCTCCCAGCCTCGACCCTCCCTCTGGACTGTCCACCCACTCAAGCCTGAGGCCGGCAGTGACGGGGTAAGGATGGGCTGTGCCCCCCCTGGGGTGGTGGACACCAGCCCTGGGGATGGGGGCCTCCTCCTCTGCCCTGTCCCGCACCCTAAGGGCCACTGTGAGTGCTGTCGGGCCACCAGCTCTGCTCCGGGCCTGAGTTGGCGCCATCCGCATTGACGGGGCTGTCGGGAGAACTGAGGCCGGCCCCGCGGGGAGGAGCTGTCGGAATCCCGTCCCAGGCAACCGTGATGGTGCGACTGGACCCGGAGTGACTGGCCCAGCAGCCCTCACCTGCCACCCGCTGTCCTGGCTGGACTGCCACCGGGGGCCAAGCACACGCCTCCCTGCACCCCGGGAAAGCCTTGTGGGGGAGCTTTCTCTTTAGCAGCGGAACACGCCGGCTTCCCTGACAGTGACCCACAGAACAAGGCCCCCATCCCCTCCCCCCACCCCCAAAACAGGTCTGGAGTGTCCTTGCATCTGGCACCATCCGGGCGCCTCACGGGTGATGCAGAAAGCCCCAGGCTCCATAGAGTCGGGGGAGACACCGCCACCCACACCCCACCCCGTCCTGCTGCCCCTCCTCTTACCGCAGTGCATTGTGGGAGTCTGAGAAGCCGTTGGCCTCCGGGTCCTTCACAATTGTCCAGTCAAAGACCAGTCCGGCCAGGGTGCTGAACGTGTTCCCTGGGAGGGCAGGCAGAGGGCAGAGGGGCACCGAGCTCACTCCCGGGGCCGAGGGAAGGGGCCAGGAGGGCCTCTCTTGGGCAGTGGCGGCCACAGGGGCCTGGTTTCCCTTCCCAAACCCCCAGCCCAGAGATCGCACAGGCCATTCCTGTCCGGCATCTGTCAGGGAGGCCACTCGCCCCGTGGACATGGCAGCTGAGCAAAGGGAGGGAAGGCAAGCCCCATCTCTGGGAAACACGAGCCCAGAGACGTTTTCTTCTCCAAGGTGCAAGAGAAGACCCAGGGCAGTCTCTGGGGAGAGGTGACCCAGCACCGGCCGTGGTGGAAGGGACCGAACAGGGCATGAGGCAGCCAGGCAGGCCCCAGGGAGTAGCCACTGGGACCCAGGAAACAGGCCGCAACCCAGGCTCAGGGCAGGCGTGGTCCCCCAGTGCTGCCCCACTGCGGTGAGGGCAGGACCCAACCACAGAGTAGGTCGGTCGACAAGCGACCTTCAGCCAAGAGAGGATCCTGACTGCTTGGGCCTCGAAGGCTTTCTGACCGTGGTGACCTGTCTGTCACACGTTTGGTCCTTTCAGTAAGAAGGTGGAAAAAAACCCACAACGTGGGGCACGCAGGTGCCAGCAAGGCTAGTGCAGTGGCCTGTGTGAACTGGACCACGGGAGGTGACCCTCTGTGAAGTGACTCTGTGTGAAGTGAGTGGCCCTGTGTGAAGTGGCCCTGTGTAAAGTGATTCTGTGAAGTGACCCTCTATGAAGTGGCCCTGTGGGAAGTGACCACATGTGAAGTGACCCCGTGTGAAGTGACCCCGTGTGAAGTGACCCCGTGTGAAGTGACCCCGTGTGAAGTGGGACTGTGTGACGCGGCCCTCTGTGAAGTGGCACTTCATAGCCTAGTCTAAAGCCAGCCAGGAAAACCCAAGAATCCAGTCTCGGTTTGTGCCGGGAAAACATAAAGCAATTCAGACAAATAAGCGTTTGCCAGATACCCACCGAACTCAAAGTCTAGTGTCAGAAGCAGAGTCCAGAAGAATGCAGTGACCCCAGTTCTGCCTCTAAGGCTACATTTGACAAGGCAGAGCCAGCACCACCCGACCCCAGGCAGGGTCCCAGTCAGCTGCAGGCCTCGGGACTGGGCAGCGCTCAATAGGACACCCCGGCCCCTCCCCACGATGGCCTGGGGTTCTCCTGAGAGGATGGGGGACCCCCTGCAGGCCCGTCCGGCAGCTTTCTGGAGGGGCCCCGGGCACTCACCCTCCGAGTCCAGTGCCTGGATCTTCAGCTCCAGTGGCGAGTCCTCCAGGTAGAGCTCGCGGGTGGTGGAGACGATCTGGATGCCGTGGATGAGGTCCACGATGGCGTCACAGCGCAGGACCTGGCCCGTGGCTGCAGAGCAGGCGAGGCTCAGCGGGCTCACTCCCTCCACCCGCACCCCGCAAAGGCTGGGCACCCCAACACGCCGACGCAGGCAGGGCCAGAGAACTGGGCACGGCCGCGCTGTCCTGCCTTGGGTGCTAGCAACACGGCACCAGTGTGAGAGCGGGCAGATCCCTCCTTGGGAAAAGCCAGCTGGGGTCCGCGTGCCACCAGGCTAAGGGACAAGGGCCACCGCAGGACAGTGGCCACCGGGGGCGGGCTGGGGCGAGTATGCAGAGTTAACACCCAGCGGGCAACACACCAGCCCCCCACTGCACTCAGAAACCTGCTTCTCAGAGCCTCGAAAGGCCACAGGTATGACTAAGGGCTGCTGGGATGCGTTTCGTTTTATTCATCTGTTCTAGCACAGCGGTAGGGCGTTTGCCTTGTGCGCAGCTGGCCTGGCCCAGCCGGGTTCGATTCTTCTGACCTTCTTGGAGAGCCCAGCAAGCTACCAAGAGTATCTCGCCCGCACGGCAAAGCCTGGCAAGCTACTCGTGACGTATTCGATACTCCAAACACAGTAACAAGTCTCACGATGGAGACGTTACTGGGCCCACTCGAGCAAATCGATGAACAATGGGAGGACAGTGACAGTTATTTGTGATTTTGTTTTTGGGCGACTCCTGATGGTGCTCCGGGGTTCCTCCTGGCTCTGTACTCAGGGCTCAGTCCTGGAGGTGTGCAGGGGAGCATATGAGATGTCAGGGATCGAACCTCATGCAAGGCAAGCGCCCTACCCACTGTGCTAACAGTCTGGCCCCTCATCTATTATTTTGGGTTTGGGGGCTGCACCTGGGCTCCAGGGCCGCACCTGGCAGCGCTGAAGGGACCCTATGGGGTGCCAGGGTCACTGCTGAGCCTCACGGCGGGAAGCGCCTTGACCTTTACGCCCTCTCTCACCCCTGGGGCGCTGTCCGGGATAGAGGCACTGCCCAGAGCCCCATTGTCTTCTCTGGTGGAAACGGTTTTGTAAGTAACCGGCCAGCACCCAAAAAACGCCTTGGTGCCAGGTGCTAACTAAGGAAACCTCGCCCCTCCTGGGGAGGAGTATTCGAACGCAGCCTGACCAAACAGGCAAAGAGTGTGGCTTCATTTTCTCTGAGCACTTAGCGGCCCGTGGCGCGGACAGAGCCTGGGACGTAGACACTACATGCCCGCTCTGAAGAGGAGACTGGGGCCAGAGCGATAGCACAGCAGGGAGGGCGCTTGCCTTACATGCAGCCGACCCGGGTTCGATCCCCGGCATCCCGTATGGTCCCCCGAGCACCGCCAGGCGTAATTCCTGAGTGCAGAGCCAGGAGTAGCCCATGAGCACCACCGGGTGTGACACAAAAAGCAAAAAAAGAAGTGGAGCCTGCCGAGGCTGATGGGCGACGTGGGACAGCCCAGGACAAAGGCTGGTGCCCACCCGGAGGGACAGAGGGCCAGAGGCTGGGAAGGCCCTGGGTGTGGGTGTGGGCGTGGGTGGAGGTGCGGGCACTTACTGACGTCCTCGGCGAGGATGATGCTGGTGAGTCGGGCGGGCTGCGCGGGGCGGGCGTGCACCACGGCCCTCTGGGAGCACTGCTTGGTGTCCACGCCCAGCGGCTCGATGCTGGCCACCTCTGGCCGCGTGGAGGACCTGGGCGAGAGGACAAGACTTTAGTTTGGGGCTTCCCGAATGGCACAGTGAGAACTACAAGGTAAAGGCGGGGTCCCCTTTGGGGAGGGGGCACTGTCCCGTACTCAACAGACCTGAGCGCAGCTGGCGCCTCCAGCTCCAAGCCCAGCGGAGAAACGGGGCCTTGCTCAGGGTCCCCACGGTAGCAGGGGACCCCACACCAGCAGCCACCAGGCCCTTAAAGTGCCCCCAGTGCTCAGGCCCCGGAGATAATTTCTCCCCTGCACTGCAGACTCCGCGCTGAGCTCAGCCCAGTGCCAGATGTCCACATTCATGGCCAGAAGGTGCCACAAAATCAGGGCACCGCGTCTGGAGATACCAGCAGACCCGACGCCCGAAAACCACACAGCGCTTGACACGACCCCAGAGCCAGGTGAGGCGGCTCCAGCCCTGACGGTGGTCTTACGGAGCAAACACAAGCCTGGACGGGGATGGAGGAACACGGTGAGCAGGGGGTCCCCGGGGCCGGCACCCTACTTCTCACTCACCAAAGTGGTATCCCGGCTGGGGGTCTGGCAGGAGGTAAAGGTAAAGGCTCTGCTGAACCTGAACCCGCTACCTGCAGACAGGGGCTGGAGCAACGCCCCAACTGGGAACGTGCCCCCAAAGCACAAGGACAGCTGGGGCTGGGGCTCAGGAAGAGGCAGTCTGAGGGTGGGTGTGAGGTCAGGGATGGGGTATGAGGTCAGGGATGAGGTGTGAGGTCAGGGACAGGCAGGTGTGAGGTCAGGGGCTGGTGGGTGTAAGGTCAGGGAAGGGGGTGTGAGGTCAGGGAAGGGAGGTGTGAGGTCAGAGGTGGGTAGGAGTCAGGTCCAGCTGTTGGCATGGCACAGGGCACACTTTGCTCCTGGATAGTTTATCCAGCCAGGGCATGGGGGTCGGAGCCTCAACGCAGTTATCTTGTGGCAATTCACTGCACTTGCCCCCTGGGGAGTCACCAACCCCCAGGAGCTCTGGGCGTGCACATGAACCTGCAGAAACTGGCCGGTGACAAAAGGGACCTGACCAAGTGGCTGGCCTGGTGCCAAGCATCACTGCCAAGGCCGGGCGTGAACGTGCCAAGGGAACCTCACTTCAGCCCGGTCTGTGTGTGAGCCAAACCCTCCTCTAAAACACAAACCTGCGAAGAATGGAAAGACCACACATGGTCGTGGCAGGGGCTCCCCGAATCCCACCCTGACCACACACGGGCACAGCAGGGGCAGTCAGGATCCCCCTCTCAGCCAATGCCAATCACCAGGGAAGCGTACGGGGCCACAGACACAGAAAGCCCAGGGCTGGGCACCCGCCTTGCACACAGCCGACCCAATTCAACCCCCAGCACCCCAAAGGGCATCTGAGCACCTCCAGAACTGAGCCTGAGCTCAGAGCCAGGAGTAGCGCCTGCTCACCACCTAAGCACCCCAAACAAACCCCACATTAAAGTAAAAAGTAAATGAATGAGACAGAGCCCTCACCGTCTCCTTCTGAGGAACAGTGCGGCGAGACAACGCTCGGGGGGTCTGGGGGCCAGAGCGCGGGCTCCGCGGGGCCTCTCCAAATCACAGTCTCCCCAAGACTAGGCCCCCCTCCCCTCTCTCATCCCCCCACCACCCCCAGCAGGGCCCCGGTGAGTCAATCCTGAGAGAGGCCAGAAATCAGTTCCCACCATCCCCAAATGTCCGACACTTTCTGGCGCCTTCCTCCCGAGTCAGCAGTGATGCAGCTCCTCAGGCCCCCACTGCAAGAACTAGATCAAGAGGGGCCGGGGCGAAGTACAGTGGGAAAATGCTTGCCTTGCATGTGGCTGCCCCCGGTTCAATCCCCGGCACCCCATACGGCTCCCCGAGCCCTGCCAGGAGTGACCCCTGAGCACAGAGCCAGGGGTGAGCTCTCAGCACCGCCAGGTGTGGCCCAGAAACCAACCAACCGGGACTGGAGCGATAGCACAGCGGGTAGGGCTTTTGCCTTGCACGCGATCAACCCGAGTTCGATTCCCAGCATCCCATATGGTCCCCTGAACACCGCCAGGGATAATTCCTGAGTGCAGAGCCAGGAGTAACCCCTGTGCATCGCCAGGTGTGACCCAAAAAGCAAAAAAAAAAAAAAAAAGAGAGAGAGAGACCAACCAACCAAGAAGAGCTGGATCAAGAAGCAGCCCAGGACGGCTGTGGGAAATATCCTATGGCACAATGAGAGCTACAGGAGACACGAACAGACTTTCGGACAGACGTCCCAGAGCGGGAAGCTCCTGTCACCAGATCTCCATCACCTTCACAAGCTGAGCCCTGAGCCCATCCCTGATGAAGTCGCGATTCTGGTGCTGTCCAGTCTTAGGGACTGGGCCAAGTGTCCTCCAGTGCCTTCCCAGCCCTACCGTGACTACGTTCTACTAGCCCTGATCTTTAAGCCCCGCCAAACACTGCTTGGGGGCCAAAGGAAGACGGAGCCACCCACTGGGCCCGTCTCACAGGTCTGGGTGCAGCCCGGGCGCCACTGCACACCCGCCTCCAAGCACTGGGCTGGAAAGGATCCCCCAGCACCGTCAGCTGGGACCTAGACGTTTGGTTTGGGGGCCGGATAGTGGCTAAAGACACTGTTCAAGCCTGAAGCTGTGAGCTGCACCCCCAGTACTGCCCACATACAGGGGTGATCCCGGCACCACAGCGCCCCCTGGCGAGCACAACCCCCAGGAGAGGCTCAGGCGCCAAGACTGAAGCAAGCAAGTCCCTTCGCGCTGGGGCCGGGCACCTGCCCACAGCCAGAGAGGCAACCCCGGGCACCATGGCAACGGCTACAAAAAAAAAAAAGACGGAAGGGGCTGGAGCGATAGCACAGCGGGTATGGCGGTTGCCTTGCGCACAGCCGACCTGGGTTCGATTCCCAGCATCCCAGAGGGTACCCTGAGCACCGCCAGGAGTGATTCCTGAGTGCAAAGCCAGGAGTAACCCCTGAACATTGCCGGGTGTGACCCAAAAAGCAAATAATAATAATAATAATAATAATAAGATAAAAATTAAAAGTATCGGGGCTGGAGAGATAGCACAGTGGGTAGGGCGTTTGCCTTGCACGCGGCCAGCCCGGGTTCGATTCCCAGCATTCCATATGATCCCTGAGCACCGCCAGGAGTAACTCCTGAGTTCAGAGCCAGGAGTAACCCCTGTGCATTGCCAGCTGGGACCCAAAAAGAAAAAATAAATAAATCATTTAAAAAAATTTACTCAAAAAAAGAGGGAAGGGGAAGAAGCATTTGGGAGCACCGAGGATTTAATTCGGGGGTGGTCTCTTAGGCAGTGCTCAGCCTCCCCTACATCCTGGCCCGCCTGCTGTTGACCTCAGGGCTCAGGGCCTGGGCCCAGGGACACCACAGGCTCAGGATCAGCAGTGCAGGGTGGGACAGGGAGGGGAGCCATGGAAAGGGTTGGATATCGGATTGGGGGTCTTGAGCATGCCAGGGCCTGCTCTGGCCCTCTGAGCCACCTCCCTGCCCCCAGATGAAATTAATTTTCAGGGTACACGTCACTAAATCCAACATGCCCCAAACATCGTTACTCTGACAGGCATTTCTGGCACTCCGAGGCGGGTCAGGTGAGGGGCTGAGGACGGGCCTGCAGAGCAAGCTGGGCAGCCAACACCGTCCTCCCTCAGAGTGGCACGGCCAGAGCTAAATCCAGCCCCAGGCGGGAGGCCTGGCATTGGCAGGTGCCTATCACCTCTCAAGATAAGCCTATGCTCCTGGGTAGGGTGGGGTCAATAAACCAGCCTGGAGACAGGCCCAGCGAGGCCGGAGCTCCCGGTTACCAGGGTGGTCCCATCTGCCCACCACCCCACAGTCTGGCCCAGCCTGCAGGGGATCTACCGGAAGTGACCCCATGCCCCTAGGGCAGCTGGGTGGGGGGCTGGCAGCTGGGCCCAGCCTGGAGATGGCCCAGCAGGGGCTGAGGGCCGGGCAGCCAGGCCCTGAACACGTCCTGCCCGTTCCCCAGCGCCAAGGCTGGACAGGCCTTCCGCAGGGGCCGCGGGAGGCCGGGGAGGTATTAGCTTACGCCCGGCCTGCTTCCCAGTCACCTGACCCCTTCTGGCACATTCGGCCCGGCTGGGCTGCACCGTGAAAAGTATCCGTGTGTCCTTGGGCCCCACATCCTGGGGCAGAGAGCGTGCTCGCAGGAGAACGGGGCAGCAGGCAGGAAAGGGGGACACTGGACACCCGCTCAGCCAGAGATGGGGGCCGTGGGTGCTGAGAGGGGTGTCGGCTTTAAGCTTCGTTTCTTCCCCCCAATTCACTTCAACGTTCGCCCCGCCCCCAAACACCCGCCACAGTGAGGCCCTGGGGAGTGGCACCCACATTTAATCATCAGCATCCCACTCGCTTTTAGCCTTGATTCCGGGGCCCTTGGGATTGAGCCAGGACAGGGATCAGACGCTTGCCTGGAGCGTGGCCATAGGGTCCCTCGAGCACTGCCAGGAGTGAGCCCAGAGGTAAGTAAGTAAGCCCCGAGCCCTGCTGGGTGTGGGCCTCCCCCAGAAAAGGGCCCCCGGCTCCCAGACCTGGGGCGCCTGCCCTCTGGGGCCCCTATCGCCCACTCGCAGTCTCGGGGCCTGACTCACTCTGATTAAGCCGGGAGCCTGCCTGGGGGAGGTGAGTTCAGAGGCCGGGACGCCCACGGGGGTGTCCAAGGGCTGCGGGGAGGGGGGTAGCAGGTCTACCCCGAGGGTCTGAGTGCCACCACGTGTGGCTGAGTGGTGGCATGAGCAGGCGAGGACAGCTGCCTATGGGCTGGCCCCCCACGTCCTCCCACCAGACCCTCGACCCGTAGAAGGCACTCGGGGGGTTCGGAATGAGGGTTTTGCAGCTTGTGGTCAGTGGAATTTGGTTTTGGAAATGCGAGCTGGCAGGAGACATGAATGGCACACATGGTGAGGCCCAGGCCACCCCTGGGTGATCCCAGCACTGTGTGTCCCACCCCGGCATTATCTGGCAT